AAAACAAGACCTCCTCTGGGACAATCAGATCACAATCTTGTTTTTCTCTGCTCAGAATACAAACCACTTGTTCAGAGGCAACCTGTGACAAGAAGAACTGTGAGAAAATGGTCACAGGATGCTGAAGAAGCCCTGCAGAGTTGTTTTGAGACCACAGATTGGATGCCTCTCTGCAAATGATATGAAGAGGACATCAGTGCCATGACTGGATGTGTCACTGACTATATAAACTTCTGTGTGGACAATTTCATACCCACCAGAACAGTGAGATGCTTCGCTAATAACAAACCCTGGATCACCAGTGAACTGAAGAATCTGCTAAATGAAAAAAGAGCCTTCAAGGAGGGAGACAGGGAATTATTGAAGAGTATACAGAAGCAACTGAAGATCAAGATCAGAGACAGCAAGGAGGCATACAGGAAGAAGCTGGAGAACAAACTACAGAGAAACAATATCAGTGATGTCTGGTCAGGGATGAACAAGATCACAGGCTTCAAGCAGAGGAAGGATTGCACAGATGGCAGCCTGGACGCAGCCAATGAACTGAACAAGTTCTTCAATAGGTTCAATTCAGGAACAAACCCAGCATCATCCTTGCCTGTCCCCAGCCAGTCAGACATCCCATCCTCCTCTGATCCAACATTTTCCTGTCACACGCCAGCTCTTTTGTCCTCTAACGCAGTCATGGACTCTTCTGGTTCTATAAATCTGTCTTCAACCAAGTCAGGAGATGCTGCTGCCCCATTTACCTCCCCCTCCCACCTATCTGTCTCTAGAAGTCAGATGAAGAGGCAGCTGGAGAGACTGAACAGGAACAAGGCTGCAGGTCCAGATGGTGTCAGCCCCAGAGTACTGAAGGTCTGTGCAGAGCAGCTCTGTGGGATTCTACAGCACCTCTTCAACCTCAGCCTAGCCCAGGAGATTGTTCCAGTCCTGTGGAAGACATCCTGCCTTGTTCCAGTTCCAAAGAAAACTCGCCCATCAGTCAATTGTGACTATAGACCGGTTGCCATGACATCCCATACCATGAAGGTCCTGGAGAGACTCCTGTTGGTCCACCTGAATAAGCAAACTAGAACATATCAGGACCCGCTGCAGTTTGTTTATCGCCATGGAATTGGAGTTGAAGATGCCATCATCCAGCTGCTTCAACCAATCCACTGTCATCTGGACAAAGCAGGCAGCACTGTGAGAGTCACTGTGAGATGTTCTTTGATTTCTCCAGTGCATTTAACACAATCCAGCCTGATGCACTTTGCCAGAAACTCCAGAAGACACAGGTTGGGGCCTCAACTATCGCCTGGATTAAAGACTACCTGACAAACAGACCACAGTTTGTGAGGCTGAAGAACTGCACATCAAACCAGGCGATCAGTAACATTGGAGCACCACAGGGGACTGTACTCTCACCATTTCATTTCACCCTGTACACCTCAGACTTCCAGTACAAATCAGAGACCTGTCATTTACAGAAATACTCAGATGACTCTGCAGTTGTCGGGTGTATCGGAGATGGACAGGAAGCAGTACAGAGAGCTGGTGGAGCGCTTTGTGGCATGGTGTGGAAACAATCATCTGACCATGAATGTGAACAAAACAAAGGAGATGATTTTAGACTTCAGAAGAAACAGGGTGGAGTCAAACACTGTTTCCATCATGGGAGAAGAAGTGGAGGTAGTTGAGGAATACAAATACCTTGGAGTTCACCTGTACAACAGATTGGACTGGAGAAAGAACAGCCAAGCTGTTTACAAGAAGGGACACAGCAGACTGCACTTCTTGAGGATGCTTAGGTCCTTCAATGTCTGTAGCAAGATACTGCAGATCTTCTACAAGTCTGTTGTTGAGAGTGTAATCTCTTCAGCCATCGTCGGTTGGGGTAGTAGCATCAGAAGCAGGGACCTGAAAAGGCTCAACAGCCTAATAACAAAGGCTGGTTCTGTTCTGGGGACAACTGTGGAACCACTGGAGGAGATAATGCAAAGAAGGATTCGTCAGAGAATCAAGAATATTATGGACAACCCTGAGCATTCTCTTCACGAGACTATCTGACAACGGAAGAGTGTCTTCAGTCAGAGGCTTCTTCAGTTTCGCTGCAACACTGACCGCTACTGAAGATCCTTCCTGCCAACAGCCATTGTAATATACAATAACTCTTTCATGACTTGATTATTATTATTAATCTGAGCTACTACAGCAATCAATTTCCCTCTGGGATTAATAAAGTATTTTTGAATTGAATTGAAAACAAATAAGAGAAAATCCACAGTGTGACACAGTGTTGCTGAAGCCGTCAATGTTGTGAATTCTTCAGAGAGATCCGTGGCAGATATAAAAAAAAATGGCCCAATCAGGATTTGATTCCCAGACTCCCGGGTGAAAGTCACACACACTAACCAGTCACCCAAACAGAGATTTCTCTTGTCCAAGTAGCCAGGGCGCATGATCACTCAGGTCACAGTGACAGGACACTCACACTGTCACAGATGCAAGACATTCTGTCTCGATCTGTCCCCCTGCTGATATTCTGCATTCTGTATTCTGCGTTTCAGGCTGTGTGTGTGCACGTGTGTGTGTATGTGTGTGTGCACGTGTATGTGGGGTCTTGTTCTGTGTGTAAACGAAGCAGTACAAGTGATAATGCTGCAGGATTTCATAATTGTATCCTTCTCAGCAGCAGCACTGCAGGTGCTCTCCATGTCCAAACTGTGCGTAAGCCAGGTCCTTAGTCAACTTAAAGTTGCACATTTTTCCGCTAAGTTTTCTTTCATAAATCGCAAAGTTTGCATGGAAAGTTACTTGCGCAGTTTTCCAACCCAGTTTTGTGCATAAGCAAGCTTGATAAATGAGGCCCCTGCTCTTTAGGGCCTTACATGAACAAGCACCATCACATATTGGTGATCTTCTCAGTCCCTACGCCTCCAGCAGGTCCCAGAGATCCAGTGACCAAAACCTTCTGGCTACAGCTGAAAACTCATCTGTTCAAGCTTTGGTGGGACCTTCATCACCACCCTATCCTTGTTCTGCTCTTTCTACTAATTCCACTTTTCCCAGGACCCACTGATTTCCCTCTTTCCTATTCATTTTATCTCTCCCTTTCCTTACCATTTTTAATGAAAAAAAATTTCCCCATATTTTCAACTTATTTTTTAATAACTTTTTAAAAATCTTTTTTACATTTTATTCATGATTTTTATTTTTGAGAGGTGCCATAAAAGATAGTCTTCTTCTAAAATAGCAAGATCTTAAGGAATGTTTTAGGCTATGTGACTCTAATATATGTTATATTCACAGACTAAACACGGATTTTTTGTTGGTTATTTATCAGATCTTGACTCCAAATCTGTTGTAAATGAGCGTCCAGTCTTTACCTACGGAGAGCTCAGTCCAGGTTCTTTTGCTAACAAACAGGGTTGCAACAGTAAATGATGAAAATTTGACAAAAATGTAACACAATGAGATGTATAAACAGTATGTGTCAGGGATGACTCTTAGCTACTAAACCACCAAATTTTAGCTCAATCCCTGTGAAATCCATTGAGTTACAGCTGTTATGAGTTAGCATAGATTGGCTAATTTTAGCTGTGGCCACCATCTTGAATTGTAGCTATTGGTTCAACGTTTCAAAGAAAAAATATTAAACTAAATTTAATGCTAGAAGTAAATAATTAGAACTACTCTTAACTACATCTACACGTAACTCTAGCTCAACATCTATGAAAACGGACTGAGTTGTAGCCATTTTGTTTTTCCTCAGGTCTGTTAGCTGTGATTCTTGATTTGGTTTGACCCTAAAGGCTGTTGACCAGCATCTAGTGATGGCTTCCTGAGAGTTGTGTCCCATTAGTCTTTGAGATATTTAGCTAACAAACATATAAAAGCAAATTTACTGGCACAAACATTATGGTCTGCCTTTAGCCTTTTAGCGTCAAGCTCAAATAAACTACAGAATTCAAGCGACTGAAGCAGTTAATGTCTGAGTTTCAAGGGTTCAGCAGCGTCTTAGTCGTGATTTAATGCAGTTTGTAAAGCGTCTCAATAGCGTACACCCTGATGTTTCCACATCCCACCACATCGTGGGATGCTTGTGTTTTTCCACGGAGGGGCCCGGGCATGCCTGTAAAACTTTTTTGGACATGCAAGATGTGAGTCCTGCCAGCAGACAGTATAACCATAGACATTTAACTCCAACCAAAAGACCTGAAGTAGACAAACTCTGTTAAGTGTTCATAAAATAAATCTGGCTGTAGAAGGTATGGAGGAGGAAAGAACAGCTGCTGCTAATGATGATTTCTCTGTGCTTTTACGGCATGTTGAGAGGCACAAATCTGTGGATTAACTAAAGTTTACTGCTGCAAAATGATGACAACATTTCCTGATTCATCTATTTTGTTGCCTTAGCTTTAATAATCATCAGAGAGGGAATTAAACCAAAAAAAGAACAATCTTAAAGTTTGAAGTCCTTCAATGCCTTTTTAAAAACATAAGGGTACATTACAGCTCTGATGAGTTGTTCACGTCTCAGGAGACATCCTCTGAGTGTTAGTGGGGAGTAATGGATGGAGGGAAATCCGTTCCAGCAGCTGTTGGCTCAAGAGGGAGAAGAGAGAAGAGGAGGAGGAAGATGCTAATCAGAGATTACAGATAAACACAAAACACAGATTTATAAATTCACGTCAGATTTTTGGAGAAAATCGGCAAAAATTTTTCCATAAAAATGTGCATTTTTCCCTGGTTGGTATGTTCATTAAAAATAATTAATAGGAAAGGAAATGAAAATTCTGATATTGCAGAAACTGATGATGTTATAATGGAAAATCTATTCCTGATTGGGAATAATGTAATCTTTTAAAATTAATGCGCAAACACTTTTAATATAAATTTTCTATCGTTAAACAAAATATATATTAAGTAAAATTAAATAAAATAAACAACACATTAAACCTCATTTAACTAAATAAAATAATTTTACATTGATTCAGCAGCGTGACAACAGCATTCTCTGGTGGACATAAGCAAACATGTCCGCTAAAGGGTTAGTTTCTGTCGTCATCATTATGCGGCAGATTCCCCGTCGCTGTTAGCAACATGTGAAGAAATCGTGAGTAGACAGCTTTTCTGACATGTTATTTTAATAAGTTCCTACAACGATTCAAGTCGAGAGTTTAAAGGAAAAGCGTGACTTGTAGTTTCGTCTGACGCAGAAAGCTAGCTCGTGAGCTAACTTAGTTTGACTCGCGTTGTTACTTTGCGGTTGTTTTGCTATCTCTTAGCTAGCTTACAGCATGGAGAACACGGAGGAGAATGCTATTGAGCTCCACGGAGATGAGGAGATTATTGAAGTGATCGACCTGAACGACACCGAGCCTGGTCCAGGTGGGCAGGAAGTCTCGATAGAAGCTGTTAGGGCAGGATCACACATCTGAGCAGGTTTGGGAGGGTTTAAAGCGGTTGTCTTCTCTCTTAGATGACTTGGCTGACGTGCTGGGAGATGCGGACTTTGAAGAATCCGCAAACCCGGAGGAGGATGAAGGCTGGGAGACAGAAGATGAGATGGAAGCTGAGGCAGATCAGGATGACAGCGAGCTGACCTTCTCCAAACACACAGGTAGATCTAAAGCTGCTGTTTTTGCTGCTTCTAAGGGACACAGCTGATGGTTCTGCTCTCCTGTTCAGGCTCGGTGTTCTGTGTGAGTTTGGACCCGGCCACAAACAGTCTGGCAGTGACAGGAGGAGAGGATGACAAGGCGTTTGTCTGGAGGGTGAGCGACGGAGAGGTTCTGCTGGAGTGCTCCGGTGAGCAATGCACACCTCCTCAAGGCTCTGAAGTTCTCATTAGGCCAGCTAGGAGACAGATTAACATTTGTCCCTTCCTCCTCAGGACACAAGGACTCTGTGACGTGTGCCATGTTCAGCCATGACTCCTCTCTGGTGGCTACTGGAGACATGAGTGGCCTGATCAAAGTGTGGAAGATGGAAACCAAAGAGGAGATCTGGTCGTTTGAAGTGGGAGATTTGGAGGTACAGCCATCAAAGGTCACACTTGGTCCATCTCTAGGAAACCTTCACGAAGCTACTTCCTATTGCCTCTCCGCTCTAGTGGCTGGAGTGGCATCCATGCGCTCCGGTGCTGCTGGCGGGAGCCAACGATGGCAGCGTGTGGATGTGGAAGATCCCTGCAGGCGACTGTAAAACCTTCCAGAGTCCAGCGTGTCAGGCCACCAGCGGCAAAGTCCTGCCTGATGGTGAGAAACCTGAACCGGGAGGGAAATGTTAACATTTTCTCCAGGTTGGGCTAATTCTCACTAGCAGTAACAGACCTTCTATGTGGAAGTCTTTACTCCCAAATCATAATTTTCAGTTATAAAGAAGTATAATTTGTCAAGTAACGTCTGTAATTTTCCTCCTGCAGGAAAACGAGCCGTCGTGGGTTACGAGGATGGAACGGTCCGGGTTTGGGATCTAAAGCACGGGAATGCTATCCACGTTATTAAAGGTAAGCAGGAAACATAACTGCAGGATGATGGAACTGTTGGATGATGTTTCTTCCTGAAAACATGTTGAAGTTTTCCCTGCACTGTTCGTCAGGTCAGGATGGACACCAGGGGGCGCTGACCTGCCTGGCGTGCAACAGGGACGGCTCTCTGGTCCTGACGGGTTCAGTGGACGGCTGTGCCAAGCTGATCAACACCGCCACAGGCAAGGTGAGAGTCCGGAAAAACAGGCAGAGTGGCGATAAAAACAGGTGTTGTTAACAGCTTCTGTTCTGAACGGTGTGAAGGTTGTAGGGGTGTTCGCTGTGAAGGGAGGGGCAGAAAAAGGAGCCAAAGACGAGGAGGAATCCAACTCTGTGGAGTCTGTGGGCTTTTGCAACATGTGAGTCGCGTGATTTTAAAGAAGAAAATCCTAAGATTTTCATCTCTGACTGTGACAAATCTTTTCCAGTTTGCCTCTTATCGCCGTGGCATACCTGGATGGAACTCTGGCCATTTACGACCTTTCATCTCAGGCTCTGAGGCACCGGTGTCCACATGAGGTACAGCCTCGTGTACCCTGGTTTATGTGTTACCAGTGTTCAGAAGAGTTATGTGTCCCATCTTCTCTCTGCTCCTCCAGGCGGGCATCGTCCACCTGCAGTGGGAGGAGTCTTCTTCTGTGGTTTCCACCTGCAGTTTAGACGGAGCGCTGCGCTTATGGGACGCTCGTTCTGGAAACATGCTGTCCGAGTACCGCGGCCACGCCGCAGAGATCCTCGACTTTACCGTCAACAGGTACGACTGCTCTGATACCACCTGAACACCGGTTGTCGTGGTGATTCTGAGGAGGATTAGATCTTCGATGCTGTTGTTGGGCCATTGTCCAAAACTTATATTATACATAATAAAAGACCAAACGTTCCTGATGAGTCATAAATTTACCAGAATAAAATGTAAATGCATATCCAAAATTTTGATTTTCATAAATAGGTGTAAATTAGAAAATTAATTTAGTACATTTATGATTAATTTGTCCCTCAAATCTAGGAAAATAATCTGATTAAACTGGTTAATCAGCTCTATGAAACACATAAAAGTCATGAAACTAAGTAAATCATTTAGCAGAAATTGGCACGTGCTGTGCTGCTAGTCCCCTAGAGGGCGCCTGTTTGGAAATGTTCTCTGTTAGATTTACATATCAAAGAATTCTTATGAATGCTGGACTTAAATAAACATTTAAGGAAAACTTTATTTTCTGATTTATTTTTGTTTAAACTTCTGAGATTTCCACGGAGATTTGTTTTTGAAACATCCTTCAGTGCCGTCTAGAATATAATCAGGTCAGCAGTAACTGAAGTGATCCATACACACACACACACACACACACACACACACACACACACACACACACACACACACACACACACACACATTGACAGCTGATTATTTAATACAGAATGTGCGGCTCATGTTTCTAATGAGTTAATCCTTTAATTGTCTCCATCTTAAGCTGATTTGTTATAGAAATATCCTAATTCATGAAGAAAAGGATCTTCTAAGCAGCTTCAGTCGAGCTAATCGTGTTTTTGAAGACAGATTTTATTAAACAATAATCACATTTTACACATTTTTTTAAATGTAGCTGCTAAATGTTGCTATAATCTCATCCTGGGTGTTTTTGTCTCTCCTCAGGGAAGCGTCTGTCGCTGTTACCGCCTCCGGAGACAACCAGGCCAAAGTCTTCTGCCTCCAGAGACCTGATCGATAAATCCCAGCGGAGGAACTGAGTCAGGAGAGACTGACTGTTGTTGATGAGAACGGATCCTCCCTTTTCTCCTCAGGATTATGACTAATCTCTGGTTTTTCATCCTTCCTGTGTGTCACTGGTAGATGCTGAAGATTCGGAAAAAAAGTCTTTCTGCTTTTTTCTGTTTAAATGTTCAGATAATCCAACAGATTCACGGTGGCCACATCCACTTTTAATGTTAAATGAAGCCCATTTCCTGTAATTTAACTGTAACTTTTGCGTCCGAGGACGTGTGTGTGGGCTGTTCCTGCTCTCGGATGAAGTTTTTCATGTAAATAAAACAAAACCCTCCCGTCTGGGTAACTTATCCATCTAGTTCATGTGTGTTTATCATTTAGGAGATAAAGATGCATCTGAAGCAGCACGCTCCGAATCCAGGCCAAAGTTATTTACAGGGCTTGTGGACAGAAAATTAACCTGTTCTCTCACCTGCCAAAGGTGTGTTTCTGGACATTAGAGACTTGCATCACGACCTGGAGATGTTTAAGGCACAGTCTGAGCCTGATGGATTTAGCGCTTAATCTTAAAAACTGAAAGTTTAGCTTTACTTGGTGATGATTTCTAGCTTTAAAGCTAACAGTGAGTTAGCGATTTATGCTATGACTCGGCTAAATACCAGCTGTTGCATAAATAGCATGTTAGCATGAAGCTAACTATCATGATTTTGTGTAAGGGAATCACTGTGGGGTTTTTTCATGCTGCCCACTCACTCATGATTTAGGTGTTTTCCTTCCATATTTTCTAGCCTCACCTTTATGTAAATAAGCAACTTTTATTACTATTAAACATTGTCATGTTATTTTTAAACAACAAATAGAAAAGGAGTATATCTTATATTATGACGTCATGAAAAACTGCCCAGATGTTTATTCCACAGCCATTTTTACAGGCCTTGTTTTATTATATCAGCTTATATCATCACGAAGAATAAAACATGACGCAGAGGCTTTGTGCCGAATTTAGCCAGAAATAACATTTCCCTTGGAGAATAACTAAATCATATTCAAGCAAGAACATATGAAGTAACAAAATGGAAGATCAATTTAAACTTTGTGTGATAAAATCAGTTTGTTCCACTCTTTAGTAGCTTCAGGTGCAAAAAGCACCAAAGGCCGGTGCTTGAGTAGTCATGTCGTAAAAACAAGCCGAACACCTGAGTTACTAGATTGTCTGAACTAAGCATGTTTATTGAGTTTGTAGCGGCAGTGATCCTGCAGAGGTTTCTGATCCAGTACATCTACAGGAGGAGAGCTTTAAACCTGGGAAACGGTTTCCACGGGAATAAGATGACATAATGACAGGATCGTCTGCATATTTTAGGACCTAAACACCATCACACACCACTAAACAGTCATTGATGTACAGGCGGAACAGTCCTGGGCCCAGGACTGAGCCCTGTGGTACTCCCAGGAGGACACGTCAGACACGATCTGATGGATAAGAGTTGTCTGGTCTACTTAATTCAAGGCATTTTCAGAGTTATTACTTGTGTGTCACAAGGTCATATGTTGACCTGAAGCAGTTTAGTCATCCTTCGTCTGTCCAGGCTAGCTTTTACTGTTTCAGCCTAGTAATTAGCACCAAACTGCATTAGATGTACAAGTTTTATTCCTCCCGAGACGTGGCGTTACTCATCTGTCCAACAATTCTCCAAACCCAATCAAACAGTTTCTGATGACGTTTATGAGCCGTGGTGAAGAACCTTCACAGACATCCGCCACAGATAAAATATTCAACACGACCTTTGCTTCTCGCTTGTCGTGTTTTTGCTGCCCAGTATGATTGTGTGTTTAGTGTTTTTGTCAGTCACCGTGTTAACCACACTAACCACCAACGAGTCTCTTCTGATGGATGAGAAGATTCAGAGGTGAGCAAAAATGTTCAGCAGTTACTGGGACTCTGATGAAGACCAGACTAAACTGGTTTCTTCCTTCTGTACACATTTATGCTGCTTTTCTGTTGGTGAAACTTTTCGTTAAGATCTTTACTGACATCACGTTTTTCATTTGTTCAGCAGAAATAAGGAAGCGGGTCTTCAGGTGACATCCTGCTCACCAGTGCCTTTTCCTTGTGCACCAGGCATTGTGTATAAAATGAACAGCTCACCCATAAAAGCTGCAGAACTCCACTTTTAAAAGCCTGAATGCTGTTTTATCTGCATGTTGTGAGGATGGATTTACTGGTGGTTTATGTGAGTTGTGTTAGATGTGATCGAGGGTTTGTGCTTGTTTAACACGAGCTCTCATTATGGTCTGCATCTTGCTACCATTACATTTGTATTCTGCAAAGGACCTAATACAGGAAGTTGTAGCTAAGAAATGTGAGTTTTGGGAGAATCTTTAGCTAAACTCAGTTTTCTTTCTCTGTATTTTTAAAAAGTTGCTGATCTGCTCGCTGTCTCACCTGATGGTGGAAAAGCATCATTCTGTAATACATGACCCGCTAAGTGAGAAAACTTTTCACTCTTTTGTATTTGCTGCAGTTACGAGTCCGATCTGGATGCTTCAGAGAAACTTTTTAACGGAAATATATCCGAGGAGTTCTGAAAAAAAGAAGCATTGATCGTCCTTGCAGGCCACTTCTAATTAATCTTATTGCATTACTTTTTTCCGCTGCACTCAGAAATAAACCAGATTAGATGTTTGATTTATTGTGGCACTGAGCCTGGTGTCCATGCAAAGCCAAGATGCTCCATCACTTCCTGCTTCCATGTCCAGCCTGTCCTCTGTGTTGTGTCTCCCATGCTCCCAGACTCAGGAACGTTTGTGTTTAAAACTGTTATCTGAGCACAGCTCATTCATCTCCAGCAGAACCAAGCGAGCAGCTCGGCCTGCAGACCCTCCGTCCAACACGGTGTTTAAACACAACATGTGTATGACAGCTGTTATGAATACAGATGTACACAAGGCTGAATTAATGTTTTGTTCACTCTTGGGGCAGATCTTCACAAACAAATACACCATAACATGAATTTGAACCTTCCTGAAGGAATAATGCCATGCAACCAAGATTTGGTAAAGCTAGAATTTTTTTTTATCTTTAAAGGTGCAACATGTGAAATAACGACAGAAGCCTGATGATTCCATCATGTTAGAAGAAAAATTGAACTATAACCGATTTCCTTCTCAGCCAGCCGGGGTATTGTCGGTATTTTCCTCTCAAATACATTTAGTTGCTGTTTACAATCTGCAAGCCAGTGAAGCTGCTGAATTTGAGCAAAGCTAACGCTACAGCACCATCATTTGTAATTGGATACCAGCAGGCAAAAAGCTCCAGAGATGTTTAAAGAACTGAAGCCAGTACATCAGAGCGACCCAGAAGTACCCCTAAAGAAGCCACGGCATCTTTTTGTTTTACTCTAATATCCGGTGAAGCAGGCTAGTGGTTATTGTTGAGCTAACAACGCTAACAGTGATTTAGAACCGGGCCAGTGCTCTGCCCATGCACATCATCCCCATCACCACCCTCCTAGTGTGTGTCGCCATCTGCTGGAACCTCCATCTGCTGCTCGGCCTGGCTCTGCAGCCTCTCCATCTGGAGGCAGCACCATTCCACATTCTTGCAGTTTATCCATGCCATGTCCACCATCATCTGTCCCAGGACCGCAAAAGGAGGCGGGGGAAAAGTGTTGTCAGTCGGATACTGCATGGTGATATAGAGTCTGGAACAGGAAAAAGGCTGCTGAATGCTGAGACTGGTGTATGAGCCACACATTGGGTGTCACTGTAGCATTTACCAGCTGCACCGGGTTCGCACCCCACTCTGACCATTCAGCTTTGAGTTTGGTAACTCTTTACTCGACCGGAAAAGGGTGGCTTGCCAACTCCGGGTCGGGGGAGAGGTCCTACCTCAAGTGGAGGAGTTTAGGTATCTCGGGGTCTTGTTCACGAGTGAGGGTTGGAGGGATCGGGAGATCAACAGGTGGATTGGTTCAGCGTCTGCAGTGATGTGGACGCTGAGCCGATCTGTCGTGGTGAAGAGGGAGTCTAGCCAGAAAGCCAGGCTCTCGATTTACCGGTCGATCTACGTCCCAATCCTCACCTATGGCCATGAGCTTTGGGTAATGACCGAAAGAACAAAATCGCGGATACAAGCGGCTGAAATGAGTTTCCTCCGTAGGGTGGCCAGGCTCAGCCTTAGAGATAGGGTGAGGAGCTCGGACATTCGGGAGGGACTCGGAGTAGAACTGCTGCTCCTCCGGATCGAAAGAAGCCAGTTGAGGTGGTTTGGGCATCTGGTCAGGATGCCTCCTGGACACCTCCCTGGGGAGGTGTTTTGGGCATGCCCTGCCAGCAGGAGGCCCCCGGGTCGACCCAGGACACGTTGGAGACGTTACATCTTCAATCTGGTCCAGGAATGCCTTGGGGTCCTGCCGGAGGAGCTGGTGGAGAAGGCCGGGGAGAGGATGGTCTGGAGCTCCCTAGTTGGGATGCTGCCCCCGCGACCCGGACCCGGATAAGCGGAGGAAGACGACGACGACTCTTTATTTAACTTTTCAGCTCTCGCAATCTCAGCGCTCGTGACCTATCTCGGTCACCATCAGACTTTTATTGAAAAAATGTTTATGGCATCATTCCTTTAATTCCATGAGTTTTATGATCAGAAAGAAAGAAAGAAAAAGATCTTTTATGTAGCGCCTCTCAACAAAAACAAAAAAATTAAATATAAAAAAAGATTTAAAAAAATGATTAAAAATATGTTTCAAATGAGAAAAATATTAAAATTGTGATTAAAAAATTTAAGAAAAGGGAGAGAAAAAAGAATAGGAAAGATGAAAGGTGGAATAAGAGCAGAATGCGGAGTTGTCAGCTGCTTTTTCCAGCTGCTGGGATGTTTGTTCACTGCTGACACGTTCCAGCACCATCTTCAGAGACAAATCGTACGAGATAAGGACTACTTTCTACTAATATGTTTCTTCTACAACAGTATTTACCATTTGAACATCTTCTGGGCTCACAATCAGCTGCTTGCCTTGTCAAGTCAGCCATTTGCCTCGCCTTGCTGAGCGGAGTTTTTAGCACAACGGTGCCCTCTACTGGCTGGTAGATGTAAACATAAATGCAGCATCGTGCCCGACAGAATAAAAAAATTTGATTTGCCCCGTGGAGGTATTGTTTTTCAAAATATATAGCTTTTTATTAAAATGTTCCATATTCTAACTTTAACATAAAGCACCTACATAACCGCTGCGGAGCCTCCAGGCTCCTGACGGACTCAGCTGATCAGGAGTTCTCTGGACGATGTCCCAACTGAAGGCTTGAGACAGAAGCCACTGGGAACTAGATCAAAGATCCACCTGGGAAGTAGCATAAAACTCCTCCGCTACTTCCACACATGCAACATAAGCTAATATAGCTAGCTGCGCTCAGGCTTCACTTCCTGTTCAGCTGCTCCAAGCTCCATTTGTTCGGTATGTGCAGAGGGGGAGGGACTTCGGAGTGCTGTTTGATGGATCAGGATCCAATCATTATGAGCGGAGCATTCACAACAATTGGACAAGGTTTTCCCAGGACTGTAAGTTTCAAAGGCGATTAAAATTCTTTATCAACAAAACATGTAATTAATAGGTTGGCATCGCTATTTGAAGCTAATGTAAGGCAATATGACAAGAGTGGTCCAGAAACATCTCCTGCAGCATCTTTTATTCATATTCATCTTTATTGAGTAACCTTAGTTATTTTGGTTACTATTAAATATTTACTCCAAAGTACTGAAACCAGACTCTGAAACTCTTATTGCCAATATTTGTAAATGAGAAAGCATATGGATATTTTATAATCCTCACGGCATGTGGGGAAGCACTGTGAAGAGACTGGAGACAGCTGATGTCATCCTGGAAAGAGGAATCACTTCTAGAGGATGATGACATCATATCTCCATCCATCCATCCATCCATCCATCCATCCATCCCAGGAGAAATCAACAACAAGAACAAAAACTCGAGTTGGCTGAAGGATACTGCCTCGCTCTGCTGCCTCCTCCTCCACTTCCGCTGAACACCATCTGAGAGGAAGAGCCCTCGGTACTTGCTCCGTCTCATCCCACCGAGTGGAGGCTCCTGTGGCCAGCTCTAAACCTTCAAGCTTCTTTTTCTGGATGTAGCATGCAGGAGAACAGATGTAAGGGAAACTGTGCTCTGTTTAAGCGTCTTCTCACAAAGGATGCATGGCTGGACTAATCATCATAAAACAGGTAAAACTTTTTATACTTCTGATTACATTTATGCACGTTTATGCATATAAAGTTCACAAAACTGCATATTTATTCATGATTTCTGGTTTACTTAATTGAGTTTTGGCAGGTTTGAACCAAAAGCTTAGAAGAAAAACGGTTAAAAAAGGAGAACATTCATCGCTGCTGATGGGACTGATTGAATTGCTTTGTGTATTCGCCTTTAAAGACACCATATAGAGAAACTGTAACAGGACTTTGATACCATAAAACTCCCGTCATTCTGCTGAAACGGGGCTAGAAGCAGTGGAAACGCTCAGCAGTGATCCGTTTTTCAGGCCGAGCTCACGTAGATCGTGTGTTTTAGGCAACGCAAGTCTAAAAATAAGAGCTGTAAAAAATCAGCTTCCCAGAAAGGTGAACCTTTATTTTGAAAATGGCTATGAACAGGGTAAATAAAGGAGGTGAATCGTAAAGAACACCTTTTATGTCTGATGCTGGGTGCGATTTACAGTCTTTGGAGCCGGTAGGTGTACTGTCATCACTTCCTAAATACAGAAGACACAAAGCCAGATGTAACTTCACACTCCCGGCTGATAAATGATTGAACAGCATCAGCTTTACATCCCCGATCTGCTGCAGCAGAGGCAGCATTTGCTTTTTTCACCATGACAGGCATTGTTGTAGTTCTGGGCTTTTGTTACCGCTTTTGGGAACTTTATCTGCTTGGTGGTGTCAGCAGCCTCTCATGCAACAAACCCATAAAATGACATGGTAGAGATAAATAAATTCATAAATAATTGGTGAAGTGGCCTCCGGGGCTGTATAATGATTGTGTTGATAGAAAGAATTTTAAGTAGCGCTATTTTAAGATAGTAAAACTGCAGCTTGTTAAACTGAGCGGTGCGTTAGTCAGTTTAACATTCAAACGTCCGTGAAACCAACCAGCGGTGAATCAGTGCACACACAGTTCTTGCTGATTTCCTGCCTTTGGGATTTGGGATACATTTCCCAGAATCAGCTCTGCTGTGTCCAGCTGCTTCTCCTGGAGACACGAAGAACAGGGTTAGGGTTAGGCGATTGCAACCCTCGATAAACAAAACTCACAAACCCAAACAAACCTTCTGTGGACCCCGTCTACGCTCTTCCTGTTTCTTCTTGCTTCTAGGGTAACTGAGCCTTGACTGCATTGGTTGCAAAAGGGCGGAGCTCTTCAGACGTCACCTATGATGAACTCCCACGCGCTGCTCTCCGGGGAGAACCTCATCTTCGCCATCACCGTGCCGCTGTCGACCTCAATCATCCTGGCTAACCTGGCCATCATCTTGGGCATCTCCTGCAACCGCCAACTCCACAACACGCCCAACTACTTCTTCCTCAGCCTCCTGGTCGCTGACATGTGCACGGGCGTGGCGCTACCCTTCATCCCGCTGATGGGTCTGAACCGCGAGCTGAGTTTCAGCTCCTGTCTAGTGGCTCACGTATTTCCAAATTTCCTCTTCTTGGCGTTTTTGTTTAACCTGGTGATGGTCCACTATGAGCGCTACATTTGCATCGTTGACCCGCTGCATTACAACAACTTGTGGATGCATCGCAGTTTTCCTTTGGCCTTGCTGATCGTTTGGATGCCCCCACTTTTGTTTGCGTCCCTGCCCGCCTTTGGGTGGAACAACTGGACAGGACCACATTGGAACAGTTGCTGTGAAAGAATGACCAAGATGTCGCCGCTTTCGAACTGTTCTGCTAACGGAACCACCTGCTGCTCCTACAGGCGGGTGTTCTCCAATGCTTTCATCTACTTGGAGGTGTATGGTCTGGTTTTACCTGCAATTCTTATAATTGCTGGCATGACTGGACGTGTTCTGTGCATCACCCGAGGACAGCTGAAGGACATTTGCCGTCTCCATCGTGCAGGAGTGCGAGGAGGTCAAGCCTCGGACCGAGAGCAGAGGCTGAACCTACGGTACACTCGCTGTGTGGTGGCGGTATCCTTGACTTTCCTTGCCTGCTGGGTTCCTTACCTCATTTACATGCACGTCTGTATAACGTTCCTGATTATCGACACCAAGTGGAGCTCCACCACCCACATCGTGCTGTCCTGCACTGGAATTGGAAGTATGGCTGTGGTGCCGTTGGTGCTGGGCTTGGCCAACAGGCAGTACACAGAACCTGCATACAAACTTCTCCAAAAACTTAGAGACCGGTGGAGAAGGACACAAGAACCAGGAGAGGATTTTATCTGACAAAATAACTACAAATCTGAATATTTATTGAGTTTGTTCTGCAAGAATTTGGACCTTACGAAACTGGTAATGCAACAGGCCCTGAGAAAAACTTCATGTGTCAGACACCAGTGGAAATCTAGGGTTTTATCAAGTCAGGAGCCAGTTAGGGATCAAAGAAAGGGGGGCCGAGTACACATCCAGCCAACGTGGCTGTCTTGACACCCTTCACAGGACAGTAAAACCATTCGTTGGGTGGATTCTGGCTCCAGTTTATTTGGTAATGTTGCATTCATGACTTTTCCACCAATAAACAACCTCTTATCAATGTCCAACTTGGATCTGTTTTCCTCTTCCCCTGTTCTTTTGTCCTTGACAGGTTTAGCACAGTTGTAAGATGTGTCATTGAAATTTGCTGACTCAGCGTTTCAGCGTTGAGGTTAGGACTCGGCATGGGCAAGCACCTCTCTAGTCCCTCAATGATGTTTACAATCTTAAGTTCATTTTGTTTGTTTATTTGTGGCTCAGAACTTAACTTCACTCATTAAAGCACCTGCAGTGGTCTCTAGAACACAGAGAATGCAGGTGAGAGGTGGAACACGGCAGGATCTGGAGTCACTTCCTGATATGTGGACATCTCTCCTCTGATTGGCTAACAGCAACACAACTCTACCACTGCAACGAAGATGTTTTAAATCCACCAATAACACAAGCCTGGAGGAGGTCTGCTGTGTGGTGGGGTCGCTAATGCTAACAGTTAGCTTCTATTTGCTGGAAACTAAACCAACAACAGCCTTCCCCATTGTGAGTCCAGATGGATGAGTCCATGAATGTTAGTGACAGTGTGACATAGATCTGTCAGGCTTTTCTAATCCTAGAGTTTCACCATCTGTTTTCTGTCAGAAGCTAATGCTAATGCTAGGTGTAGGAGACAATTTTCATCTTCAGCCTGCATGAAACACTCAGAGCAACCCGTTAGAATCAGACATAATCAATAAAACTTGTTTTCTCAGTGAAATTGATCTTTAAACAGTTTCATGTATTTTGTGAGGCGGCTGAAAAATGCTGCTGTCCTTTTTCCCAGAATGGCTTCGTTGGACTTCGTTAGCCTGATGAGCTAGACCAAACGTTTGCCTTGCACATCTATAGGAAGGCGTGCCGGGCTACAGGATTGTGGCGTTTTTCCAAACACATCCTGGTATGGACACGTCTCTAGGAGACATTTATACCAGCAGCTGCAGAGACTGAAGACCACAACAGACCCCGCACACACAGCTCATGAAACTTCCTTCAGGCAGAACGTTGAGCCGTCTCAAAGCTCGGTCTCGGCTGAGGCTCGTCGTGAACTTTATTCATTTTCCATTATCACTGATTTTAGGCTGTTTATTTATTTCAGTGACACTTTCTGTTATAACTTGTTGTTGAATGAAACCTAAAGTGTCACAATTGAATAAAATACAGATTCTGTTTGTCCAGAAGGGGGCAGTAAAGGTTAGATCCAGCCTTTTTACAAATATTAGTTTCTGCTGGTCTTCCATTGTGTGATTGTTATTTTATGTAAACGACTCTGTTTACTGTGTTTACAAAACTCACAGTGCTTTGTGGACATTAGTTTTTATGTCAGGGTAAATTTGACTCATGTGATCATAAAACCTCAGAAAGGAGAAGGAAACCAGGAGACCTGTAGGCAGACATTCACCGGACCCCTTTGAGGTTAAATGATGCCTGATGGGAACGTCTCACCGGCTGCTTTTGCACAATAAAAATAACTCATCGGTTTTACGTGAAGATGAGTGAAACAAAGCTAAAATGTTTATTGTGAGTAAATTAGAGGTGGGCGTGACCCTCAGCAGACCCAGAGGGCTTTTAATCTTCTGGGAATCGACTTTCTGCTGGAAAATCCCAAAGAAAAGCAAAAATCACGTCTTGAAGCGAACAGATTTGTTTCTTCTCCTTGCCTGCTGCTCCTTAACTCCTCGCCAGTGTTTATCTCTGTTCTGGTATGCAGCTGAGGAGCAGGGTCCTCTAGACGAGAGAGATTAGCTCCTGCCACCGGATCACACAAAGGAGTGACGATGTTTGCATTTCAAAGGTGGAAATGTAAAGCTTCCAGTTTGAGATAAAACCATATAAAAACAAAAACATATATATGTATGTCGATGGATAAAAAGCTGCAGCAGGATTAGGGTTGTGTTCCAGGTCCGCGTTTTGTTTGGAGACGTAAAAGCTTTTGATTAGAGGCCTGGTCAGACGTCTGGTGACTTTTGTTTGTGGATGGGAGAGAGACAGTCAGCCGAGGTGGAAAATCCTCCTTAATGACATTAAATAAGGTCTGAACTGTTGGGACATGTAGAAACAAACATATAGCTTGTACTTCTGGGTCACGACATGTCCTGGCATATTTTCCACATTGGAATGTCATGTGTGTCAGGAAGATGGACGACAACCGGGAAAGGAGGAGGAGGAACAGGATGACTGCGTATGTTCGTAAGAAAGAAGAGAAGCAGAATTATCAATCATGTTGCTTTATTTATTCACACAAAACCCTCGTCTGATCGCTTCAAAGTGTTAAAAAGAACAGTGCAGCAATGCACACACACACACACACACACACACACACACACACACACACACACACACACCAACAACAGTATGGTTCTAGAGCCACTATGAGAAGGCCTCGTTCTTGCGTTCCAGACGGCGATGACTCAGAGGAAGATTAAAAGAAAACACCGAAAGTCTTTCCAACATGCCAACAGGGATAGAGACACCTTCTGGAAAACACTGATTTACACCACATGGAGACCAGAACCAAGGAGAACCGCCACAGAGCTGCAGCCAGACGTTCACACAACCAGGAGAGAGATCACTGAGTGAGATTATTGGTTTAAAATCAAAGTTACTGTAAAAATGTCGTGGGGCTTAAATAGTTTAGTATAATTTAATTTGAGTAAATAAATTCACATTTTGGAGGTTTAGTGTTGCTGAAGACAGTCTTTGTATGGGTGCTCAGTCGGAGACACAGTAAGGTTCGGACAGAACCAGTCTTCCTGATTCCTGCAGCACTCGGATCAGCAGGTGCTTCTTGAGGGGTTTGGTGACGAAGGTGTCCAGGGAAGTGGTGGTGTCCGGGGAAAAGGTGGTGTCCAGGGAAGCGGTGGTGTCCAGGGAAGCGGTGGTGTCCGGGTAAAAGGTGGTGTCCGGGGAAAAGGTGGTGTCCAGGGAAGTGGTGGTGTCCGGGGAAAAGGTGGTGTCTGGGGAAAAGGTGGTGTCCGGGGAAAAGGTGGTGTCCAGGGAAAAGGTGGTGTCCAGGGAAGTGGTGGTGTCCAGGGAAAAGGTGGTGTCTGGGGAAAAGGTGGTGTCCGGGGAAAAGGTGGTGTCCAGGGAAAAGGTGGTGTCCGGGGAAAAGGTGGTGTCCAGGGAAGTGGTGGTGTCCGGGGAAAAGGTGGTGTCTGGGGAAAAGGTGGTGTCCAGGGAAGCGGTGGTGTCCAGGGAAAAGGTGGTGTCCAGGGAAGTGGTGGTGTCCAGGGAAGCGGTGGTGTCCGGGTAAAAGGTGGTGTCCGGGTAAAAGGTGGTGTCCAGGGAAAAGGTGGTGTCCAGGGAAGTGGTGGTGTCCAGGGAAGTAGTGGTGTCCGGGGAAAAGGTGGTGTCCAGGGAAGTGGTGGTGTCCAGGGAAGTGGTGGTGTCCAGGGAAGTGGTGGTGTCCTGGGAAAAGGTGGTGTCCAGGGAAGTGGTGGTGTCCGGGGAAAAGGTGGTGTCTGGGGAAAAGGTGGTGTCCAGGGAAGCGGTGGTGTCCAGGGAAAAGGTGGTGTCCAGGGAAGTGGTGGTGTCCAGGGAAGCGGTGGTGTCCAGGGAAGTAGTGGTGTCCGGGTAAAAGGTGGTGTCTGGGGAAAAGGTGGTGTCCAGGGAAGTGGTGGTGTCCAGGGAAGTGGTGGTGTCCAGGGAAGTGGTGGTGTCCTGGGAAAAGGTGGTGTCCAGGGAAGTGGTGGTGTCCGGGGAAAAGGTGGTGTCTGGGGAAAAGGTGGTGTCCAGGGAAGCGGTGGTGTCCGGGTAAAAGGTGGTGTCCAGGGAAAAGGTGGTGTCCAGGGAAGTGGTGGTGTCCAGGGAAGTAGTGGTGTCCGGGTAAAAGGTGGTGTCTGGGGAAAAGGTGGTGTCCAGGGAAGTGGTGGTGTCCAGGGAAGTAGTGGTGTCCAGGGAAGCGGTGGTGTCCGGGTAAAAGGTGGTGTCCAGGGAAAAGGTGGTGTCCAGGGAAGTGGTGGTGTCCAGGGAAGTAGTGGTGTCCGGGTAAAAGGTGGTGTCCAGGGAAAAGGTGGTGTCCAGGGAAGTGGTGGTGTCCAGGGAAGTAGTGGTGTCCGGGTAAAAGGTGGTGTCCAGGGAAAAGGTGGTGTCCAGGGAAGTGGTGGTGTCCAGGGAAGTAGTGGTGTCCGGGGAAAAGGTGGTGTCCAGGGAAGTGGTGGTGTCCAGGGAAGTGGTGGTGTCCAGGGAAGCGGTGGTGTCCGGGGAAGCGGTGGTGTCTGGGGAAAAGGTGGTGTCCAGGGTGAGCGTGGTCATTGGGACAATGGTGTCTTCTGCAACTCGGGGCTTCTTTGGGATGTGTTTTCTCTCTAGCAGGTGAACGTCTGCGTGCAATTACAGACTTGGATTGGTTGGTTTGTTTTTAGTCATCTGAGCGAAAAAGAGGTTTGGTTTTAGTAAAACACAAAACATCAAATAAAGTTAAGAACTGATGATCATTCTGGACAGATGCTGTTCAAGGGTCACATCTACAGTCTTGTTGTTTATTTATAACCTTAAACTTTGGGGTCTTTCACACACAGATAAGCTTCGTTTCAACAAATGTAAAAATAATTATTTAAACTCTTGGGTCTCCTCCCGGTTGGACGTGTCTGGAAAACTTCACCAGGGAGGCGTCCAGGAGGTATGCCTAACTAGAGCCACCTCAACTGGCTCCTCTTGATGTAGAGGAGCAGCAGGTCTACTCTGAGCCCCTCCTGGATGACCGAGCTTCTCACCTACAGCCTCTAAGGGCAGCCCAGCCACCCTGCAGAGAAAACTAATATCGGCCACTTCCATGATTTCGTTCTTTCGGTCACTACCCAAAGCTCATGACCATAGGTGCGGGTAGGAACGTAGGTCGACCGGTAACGCCCGCATCACTGCAGACGCAGCACCAATCCACCTATCGATCTCACGCTCCATCTTTACCTCACCCATGAACCAGACCCTGGCATACTTACACTCCTCCACTTGGGGCAGGACCTCATCCCTGACCCGGAGAAGGCATTCTACCCTTTTCTGACTCAAGACCATGGTCTCAGATTTAGAGGAGCTGATTCTCATCCCAGCTGCTTCGCACTCGGCTGCAAACCGCTCCAGCGAGAGCCGGAGATCACGTTCTGATGAAGCCAACAGGATCACATCATCTGTAAAAACCAGACACCCGATCCTCAGGCCACTAAAACGAATCCCCTCAACACCTTGGCTGCTCCTAGAAATCCTGTCCATAAAAGTTACGAACAGAATCGGTGACAGAGGGCAGCCTTGGCGGAGTCCAACTCTCGCAACTTACTGCTGGCAATGCGGACCAAGCTTCGACACCGGTCATACAGAGACCTAACAGCCCGTATCAGAGGACCTGGTACCCCATACTCCCGGAGTATCCCCCACAGGGCCTTCTGTGGGACGTGGTCGAACATCTTCTCCAAATCCACAAAACACATGTAGATTGGTTGGGGGAGCTCCCACGCACCCTTCAGGACCCCCTAAGGGTATAGAGCTGGTCCAGTGTTCCACAGCCAGAATGAAACCACATTGTTCCTCCTGAATCCGAGGCTCAACAACCCGACAGACCCTCCTCTCCAGAACCCTTCAATAGACCTTACCAGGGAGGCTCAGAAGTGTGATCCCCCTGTAGCTGGAACACACACTGCGGTCCCCATTTTTAAATAGGGGTCTGCCAGTCCAGTGGAACTGCCCCCGATGTCCACGCATTACTGCAGAGCCGCGTCAACCAACACCCTCACAATATGTTTAGATCTGCCAGGTCTGACCAGCATCCTCCCCCACCATCAGAGCCATCTCATCACCAGATGGAGTGTCCAAGACATGCGGTTGCAGATCAGATGAAACGGTACTAAAGTCGATCATCAAGCTGCAGCCTAAGGTATCCTGGTGCCAAGAGCACATATGTCTGAACATGGTGTTCATTATGGACAATCCATGATGAGCTCACAAGTCCAATAACAAAACACTGCTCGGACTCAGATCGGGGGGCTGTTCCTCCCAACCAGACATCTCCAGGTCTCACCATTGTTGCCAACATGAGCGTTAGAGCCATCTTCTGTAGCTGAGGATCAGACCCCGCCCTCGGCTACCACCCATCACACATTGTACCCAACCACTTTGAGATGTGGGTCCTCCTTCCCATGGGCTCACAACTCATGGGAAGGAGGACCCACATCTCTTCTTCGGGCTGTGCCCGGCTAGGCTTCATTGGTGAAACCCCAGCCACCAGGCGCTCGCCAACGCGCCCCACTTCCAGGCCTGGCTCCAGAGGGGAGCCCCGGTGACCCCATCTGGGCGAGGGAACACGTTTTCATTCATAATTTTCTTCATAATTTGTCTGATTCCTCACCTAGGACCTGTTTTCCATGGGTGACCCTACCGAAGGCCCTCCACCACGGTAAGGTGGCAGCCCAGGGAGGGGCCTAAAGAGTCATGAGGATGATTAAGGACTCCTAAAGGGTCATACGTCATAAAAGGTCCAAAAATTCAACAAAATCTAAAATAATAATTAATCTCATTTTACAATTTTTTAAATTATTGAAAAAAAAACTATTTTCTTGAAAATGGGGTCAGACTTAAAACAAACTGATCATCAGTGGAATATTAGTAATCTTAGTAAAACAGATCATTAATATTTTTATAGAAACTAAAGGACATAAATGTTAATGTTCTGGCAGACACGAGGACACATACACAAACATGCAACACAACCAATCACCATGTTTTAGTTTTTAAAGCTTATTGGAGCTTTTCATAAAAATATTCTTACCTGAGTTGCGCATGATTTGGTTGATTCTTCACACCAACGAAGAAGAAACAAACGTTAGTAGGAGTATTTAAATGAGTGATGTCATCCTGGAGACTGGACCGTACCTCTGCTCCTCGCCCTCCAGCAGTCTACGGTAGGTGGCGATCTCGATGTCCAGGGCCAGTTTGAGGTTCAGCAGCTCTTGATGTTCCTTGACCTGCCTGGCCAAATCCTGCTTGCATTTATTCAGGGCGTCCTCCACCAGTCGGATGTCCCCTCGGGCCTTGTCTAAGTCGTCTTCGCCGTCTTTTCTGGCAGCATCAATGTCGTTTTTCAGTGCCTCTTCCTAAAACATACAGAAGTAAAAAGGAGATCAGCACCTGTCTGAAAGGAGATGAAGGGTATACGTTCTCTCATCCCTACCCTTCTCTTCAGACCATCCAGCTCTGCCTTGAGTCTCTGGATGATTCGCAGCAGATCTGAGATCTCCCTTTTTATATCACGAACTTCCTGCTCCCGCTGTCCAGCACTCTGAACCAGATCGTGCATCTGAAGACGTGAGCGGACAAGTTACGGCATTTATCTGCAGTAATATAATCAATCTTCTCATGTTTTTTTTTTACCTTTTTCTGGTTCCACAGCTCTGCTTCCTCCCGGGCGCGGGAGGCCAGAGTGGCATACTGAGCCTCGGTGCTCTTCACGATCTCACCCATATCCAGGGAGCGTTTGTTGCTCTCATCCAGGACCACCACCTCGTTGTTGATCATGGACTCCAGCTCCCTGATCTCCTGTGGGGGATGGACACGAGCGAATCAGCTGGTTAGAAAATAATTTTTGTTTTCCACCTTTTCTGCAGAGCTGAATGTTGGATCTGTCATGACCTCATCAAAGCCAAGCCTGAGGAAGTCCAGCAGTCTGCTCAGTTTCTCCAGCTCCAGAGCATCGTTCACCAAGTCCAGGTGACCTTCATCCACTTTCTGTTACACACACACACACACACACACACACACACACACACACACACACACACACACACACACACACACACACACACACACACACACACACACACACGCATTTGAGTGCAGGATGCCCTTATTTAGGCATTTTGCAGCTGAATAAAGTTCAGACGTTGTCATTTAAACAGAAGAAGACTTCCGTACCTTTTTGGTGATGATAAACTCATTTTCTTTGTCCACTTTTTGCTCCCTTTCATCTTCATAACTGCAAACATTGAAGGATTATCAGTAACGAGCTCAGTTTTTAAACAAACCCGAGCAGACGGAGACGAGCTTGACCTACTGACCTCTTCTTGGAGGTGTCCTTCTCCTTCTGGATCTTGCTGAGCTCATCCCTCAGTTTTTTCTGTTCGTGCAGCAGGCTGTCGATCTTCTGCTCCAGGTCGTTGTGCAGCTGCCTCACAATGTCATCAACATTTCCAGCATATGTCTCCTGCCCTCTGAGCAACTCCAGCTTCTTATTTAGCTTCTTCTTCTCATCCTCCAGGTTTTTCACCTGAGAAACAAAAGAACCGCTGAACTGAAAATCTGTTCTGTTTTAATGCTGTGTCTAGTTTTACATAAATTACGATTATGAGTAATCTTTACTACATGTCAGCACACCAACCCCATACCCCATAAATGAATTACTCACAGGCTTGGGGGTGGGGGTGGAATCTTGGCCCCCAAAATGCCTTGAAACGGCCCTGGATGTGGGACTGAATTGTATCAAAAAATGCTGATAAATTATTGCTTTCTAAAGATAAAAGCTGTAGTGGATAAATCTACCTGCATTTTAATTTTCCAACTGTTTTGTTTTCTTGTTTTTATTTCCTGTCTTTGATCTCCCTGCGTCTCCTTTTTCACCTCATGAGTTACTTTTGTCCTTAGCAGATCAAAGGGAACTACCAGATCGCTGCACCCTCTCTACAGGCTCATCACGCCGCCGGGTGAGGAGCACTGCTGCACGTCCTGATCTTCTACCTTCCTAGATCATCCAGCTGTAACCCGTTCCTGATCACGTCTTTAGTCCCGCTGTAACACTGATGCATCAGTCTCAGACGTCATGCAGCTCAGGTGTTATTTACTACCTGTGTGTGTTTACCACCCAGTTTCAGCTCTTCTGTGTTTGGGTCTGACCCAAGTTAGTACATTTAAGTCCTCCATCAGGCTTGTGCCTCTTCTAGTGTCATTTTAAAGGATTTTATTTATTTATTTAACCATTACTAGATTACCAGCAACAGAAATGCTGCTAAAACACACAATTATGTGAAGCTGGAAACATTAGAATAATGTGCAAAACTACATTCATTTCCGTTATTGAACTAGACTGAGAGACCATTTAAAGGCTCAGGAACCTTTACATGTGTTTCTGTTTGCTTACTGGGGTTAAATATCACACAGTGACATTTTAATAGTCTAGATTAGAGTCATGCTCCTGTTTGTAGTTCCTCCTGTTGAGTGTCCATTTATTTCAATTAATCAGTTTTATAAAAATAAAACTTTGGACATTTTATTATGTTCCAGTCTTTAGTCATTTATATTTCAGTGTTGTAGTCATTTATAGTAAATTAAGTCTAATTAAGAGGAGAACCTAATTTCTTGTATTCTTTAATGGGAAAAAAGTGACAAAATATTTATTTTTCTTGGTAATTAGTTACTTTTATAATCTTGTAACTTGGTAAGTAACTGAGTTACTTTTTTGACAAAGTAATTAGTAACTATAATTAATTACTTTTTTAAAGTAACATTCCCAACACTGATCTTAGAATAGAATAGACTTTATTGATCCCACAGGGGGGAAATTCGCTCATTAAAGCAGCCATACACTAAAAGTAACTAGATTACAGGTAAACACACGTACGCAGTAAACTATGGTAATCTTCAACCACTAAAAACAAAGAGAAGTCTTATTTTGAGTCAAATGTTTACAATCAAACACATGTTTCTGCCCCCTGGTGGAGGATATAAGTACTTCATGGGTAACTGTCTATTTTATTAGTCATATTAATATTATTCCAATATATATTAATGTTCTTATAATTTTATAATATGTTTACAATCAAACACATGTTTCTGCCCCCTGGTGGAGGATATAAGTACTTCATGGGTAACTGTCTATTTTATTAGTCATATTAATATTATTCCAATATATATTAATGTTCTTATAATTTTATAATATTATAATAAATCATTTAAAGAAAATTTAGTAGTAAAACTAAACAAAAAAATTACATAATTTAGAGTTCAGACTAAGATTTTATATCTAAATCCTTAAGGACGGATGGGAGTCTGATTATATTTACTGTTGGCCTTCCATAAACAACTAGAAGCTGTTAGATCTTCCACAAGGTGGCTCCCTAGGTGCGCCTACCCACTTGGAGAAGGTTCATTGTTGTGGCCTCGGGTTCCAGATTTCCATGTGATGATAAAGCAGCAAAAACTCAAAGTATTTGTCTCAAAGACACATTTTAATATGTTTAATGTTAAAGTTTTGTAATAAAATATATGAAAACAAGAGTCAGAATATTTAGAAAAAATACAGTTTACTGACAGAAAAAGATAATTACCTCTTAATTAAATAAATAAATATATAAGATATTTAATGACATTTTAATGTAATTTTAAACAGAGACGTAATAGTTTTAATAATAATAGTATTAATATAATAATAATAACAATAACAACAACAACAATAATAATAATAATAATAATAATAATAACACAAACCTTGTTAATCAGCGCGACGAACTTGTCATTGAGTCCGATCATGTCATTCTTCTCCTTGCTTTTGGGCCTCTCCCCGCTGCCCGGGCTGTAGGTCTGGCTGCTGAAGGACATGGTGACGTTTGGGTCTGAGGTCGGTCTGAACAGGTGAGCGGAGACGAGCCCGACAGCCTTTTGAAGGGCGCACGGACCAACGGACCTGCCCAATGAGGCGCGCGCGTCCAATCAAGGCAGGCCAGGTGGATTATTCCAGAGAAATTCTAAAATTTCAGCCTTGAACCTGTTTGTCCACCACACAAGACCCAAAGGCATCCCCGGGGGCGGGTATGCGCGCGTGGAGCAGATATAAAACTCACCTGCATCATTTGCGTCCAGGTGAGTCTCCATTACGCATCAAGCCTCTCGTGTGCATCTCTCCTATCCAACATGTCTCGGCCGACCAGCAGCGCTTCTGTTTATGGCGGAGCCGGAGGAAGGGGCGCAAAGGCGTCCGTTTCCACTCCGGAGGGTCTGCGCAACCTGCTGCTGCCGGAGAGAGACTCCGCGCCCGCGTCCAGACAATCCGAGCCGCCCTCTCGGTCTCCTGCGCCGCGCAACTCCTCCGCCGCCCCCGGGGACGACAAGCAGACTCTGCGCGATCTGAATGACCGGCTGTCCAACTACATGGACACAGTGAGACAGCTGCAGGAGGACAACCAGGAGGTCCAGAAGAAGATCGATGACATTCTGGCCAAAAGGAAAACCCCCAAGGGGCGCGACTGGGACAAGATCCATGAACCTCTGGATGAGCTGGAGAAGAAGGTGGGTCCTAACACCCTTTATTATTTATTCATGTTTTTATTTATAATCACATGAACCCCACAGATCAACGACCTGGCCCTGGACAATGCCAAGCTGCTGCTGGAAATCGACAGCTGCAGACTCTCCAACGATGACTTTGACAACAGGTGAGTGTCTTTAGAACGTTTAACTTCCTCTGGAGGACTTGTGATAACAGGTCACTGATTCCAGGCAGGATGACGAGATAAAGGCCAGGAAGGAGCTGGAAAAAGACCTGGAAAAGCTGAACAATGTCATTGATGACATCAGAACCAACAAAGCTCAGGTGCAGGTGGAGCTCGACCTGGTGAAGCAAGATATTGAGTTGCTGAAGATGGAACACCAGGATGTGAGTTTGGAGCTCCTACTTTACTAAACAACCTCTAAATCAGAGCAAATGTGTAACCGTGTCCCTAAACCATTCTGCAGAGAGTGATGGATCTGCTGGAACAGATCAAGGATTCAGAGGTCAAGGTGGAGATCAAGTCCTCCAACTCCAACCTGGCTGACGTCATCAAAAACATCAGAGTCCAGTATGAAATGGCAGCTGAGAGGAACCTGAAGGAGATGAATGATTGGTACACGAGCAAGGTACGGATGCTCTCCTGACCTTTGAGTTCCTCCAAATTCTCCTCTTCTCATCTTTTCCTCCCATTTCAGTTTGAGGACATCAAGGTGGAGGTGGCCCAAACCAACCAGGCCTGTGAGACTGGGAAGTCACAGCTGAAGGAGCTGCAGAAGGAGAGGAAAACTGTGGAAATTCAGATTCAGACGAGCCAAACCACCGTGAGTAGAGCTCATGAAGCCAGCTATACCGGAAGTGCACTCGGCATCTTCTCTGTAAAGGACGTGGTGTCAGGTATAATAACCTGAAGCACTCCTGACTGGGCCTGCCATGAAACGTAGAGCTGCTGGTTAGGACCAGAGAAACGCACCTGTCAGACACCTGCATGAGCACAAAACCAAAAACAAACGGGACGTTTTCCAGAAGGGACTGATGTGGGTCTCCTCGGCTCCTCAAAACATCTTTCTTCTTTCAGATCCTGTCTTTGGAAGGTGCGGTGAGGGGAACTAAGGACGAGTACAAGAGGCGCCTGGACCCTCTCTACAGGCACATCATAAAGCTGGAGGCAGAGCTGATGGATCTGAGGGGCCAGGTGGAGCAGCAGGGGGAGAAGAACGACAGGCTGCTGAACGTCACCATGAAGCTGGAGAAAGAAATCAACGACTACAAAGAGCTCCTTTATGGCTGCACTGCTGACCCTGAGAGGTGAGGAGGACAGGTGACATGGACTGCCAGGTAGCATTTAAAAGGATTAGAAGTGAAAAGCTCCCAAGAGCATCCAGAAACGCGGTCCGCCAGTTTGATTTTGGGTGCGTTACTTATGCTTTCCTCCCAGCAGCTCCGGGTTTGCTTTAGAGGATGGCCTGCAGCCTGGTAAGTTGTGGATCCGGCTTGATAGAAAACAAAACGAGCGGATTTAAAACTTTGATCACCAAAGCAGACGAGGGCTTTCAGTTCAATCCTACAATCTGATTGGCTCTTTTCTAACAGCAAACAAACAGACGCAAATAAAAAGATCCGTTTGTTTGTGAAATGATCTGAGAGGAGTAAACAAAACTAAACATGATGTCTACGTTGTTTACACCTTACAGGTATCAGAAGTGCGTGCCAAGTAAAAAAAAAACACAAAAAGCTGGCCCTCATGTTGCTTTTGGCTTTAGAAGAGTTTTGCAGAAGAGCGCTTGTTTGTCATTCCTTACAGAAAAAAGCAGGAGTGAAAATAAGCGTGCTTCCACGTCGACACACACTGCTAACAGCTAATAACGCCACTAAACCACCGCCGTCTCATAACTGCATGAGATCACCATCACATATTAACAAATCAGAGGCTTCAAAATCAAATCTAACTTAAAAGAAGCCAATTTCTTTCAGAGAGAATCACACAGAAAAACCAAGGAATGAAAAACACATTTTAAAGTTTGAAATCTAAAAAACAAAATCTGTATTTGTGTTTCAGGTCAGCAACAGCCTAACTTACAGAAATCACCCAAAGAGGAGCCGAAGGCTGAGAGAAAGCCAGGAAGTGCTGGTGTAAACAAATCCACGGCCCGTAAAGACCCTGGTGAAAGCTCTAAAACTGAAGAAGTGGTGGTTTGTTCAGGAAATCCCAAAGAATGAAGCACATCCACAGAAAATCCTCTTCTTATGCGTGGAAAGCTTGAGATGGGAAAGTTTTTCTCTGCCCTTATCTTGTCTGTTTAAAACTATCATTGGTGTCAAATCTGCAAAGTCTCTGAGGTTGAAGTTTATTTTCACTGATCTGGATCAAATAAAGGTTTCAAAGGGAATCTGGACTCGTTTTTATTTGTTTTATTTGTGTTTTATGCAACATGTAGTAACCATAAAGCAGGTTCTGCTGGCCTCAAAGTCAAAAATGTTATCGAATTTTTCAGAATTGAATCACAATGTATGTCTATAACCTGTTCATCAGCAAAACACCAGAAATTAAAAAACAAAAAAACAGGACAAAGTCATGCGGTTAGAAGCATCATAGAAAGCAAGGTGTAAAGATGAATTAACAATATCAAAAATTAAAGATAAACTATTGACGACATTGCATCTGAGTCATTTGTCAATGGAGTAAATGTCAAAGCTCTGAGAACACATCCCTGTGGAACCCCATTATGTCAGTTTCATACATAACTGACAGCACATTATATATATATATATATATATATATATATATATATATATATATATATATATATGTGTGTGTGTGTGTGTGTGTGTGTGTGTGTGTGTTTATTTTCGTGTAGACTCAAGTAGAAACATCCAGTGAGATGCTAGGAGTAGTGCCTACCCATTGGAATGACATTTCAGCCCTGGAGTATCCCCATTACTATCCTCAGGCTCTGGAACCTTGATTACAACATTTACTTTAATCAGAGAACATCACTTTGGTCCTCTCAGCAGCGGTCCAGTCCTTTTCATCTTCAGCCCAGGTGAGACACTTCTGACCTTGTTTCTTGTTCAACAGGGGCTTGACACAAGGACTGCGACAGATGAAACCATGTCTTGCATACGTCTGTGCGTGGTGGTTCTTGAAGCACCAACTCCAGCTGCACTCCGCTCTTTAAGAAGCTCCTCCACATTTCTGAATGGGTTGTTTCACAATCCTCTCCAGGGTGGGATTCTCCCTAACCTGGTGAACCAGACGAAACTTCGGTCAAGGAATGCTCCATTGGAACATCTGCAGCCTTCTGGCTGGCCAATCACAGCTCTCCATCAGGGTTTCAAACCAACAGAGCACTGTGATTGGTCCACAATGATGGGCCAATCACAGTGCTCTATTGGTTTGGTACACGGGATGATACGGAGTGGAACAAGATGGAGACAGCTGGTTTTAAAGAGCTTTTAGATACATTTTGGACTATTTGGGCTTTATTAGAACCAGGAGCAGAACGATGCATTTAGGACGTATTTTCACCTTCAACAGAGGACCGCCTCCTTTTCAGACATCCGCTGCAGTGAGTACGTCACATTGTTCATCGTTCAGTGGTGTAACATGAGGAAATATGGGTTTTCTGTGCCAAAGGTTGCATTTGGCCCGGCTGGGTCAGAGCTGGGTCGCTCAGAACTTTAACCCACAGATTAAGACCTTTGCCGACATGAAGTTTGCAAGAGTCTGCTGCAAACCATAACATCTGCCACCTGCAGTGCCAGAAGATGTTATTCTCATGGAAGCTAGTCATAATAAAAGAGTCTTACGCTTCCTTTGTTTATTAATGCTAAATAATCATTTTACCATTTTACTCATTATAAATGTGTTTTAATCAAATGAATTATTATTATGCTTTGGTTAATCATAATCACTATAATGAAGCAATGCTTAATTAAGTAATGTTTTGAAGATGTTTAGTGGTGACCTTCACACTCACACACTCTCACAGTAAATTCAAAACACATTTGCTGACGCACACGTTTGCTTTGAGAAGAGAACTGGGTTTGGTAAGTTTCAGTTCATGATTCAGTTTGTTTTGACAAGGAAAGAGAGAGGACGTGTAACAAACGCTAACGGGGGAACGGAGCCCCACCGGCTCTTGTCTCTCCCTCCCCCCTTCGCTATTCTTGTCAAGCCAGACAGGATAGCTGAATTGCAACCGCTAACGCAGACTCGTCCAGAGTCTTTGATTTTCTGAGTAAATTAAACTTAAGAAAGCGCATCTGCAAATGCTTCAACAACGTGTACCGGGGGGCATCTCTGGACCGGATCGTCGCACACCTTCGTCTCCTCTGCCAGCCAAGGTGTGACCTGGATAAACATCCTCCTGAGGTCCGGATCTGAACGAGGGTCCTCGTACGGTGAGGCAGAACACAACAGATAGCGTTTGATGCATCTTTTCCAACGAAACCTAAGTTTATTCAAACCATCACTTTTCACTCAGACACCTGTTTCTTCCTGAAGCAAAATCAGACGCACACGCATTCATCTCACCTCATTCTCAATTTTCACACATTCAACACAAGGTCTATTTGAGCAAGTTTAAAATATCAACTGTTAAAGATTGTCCAACAAAGTTGTCAATGTTGATTGTTATTTCCTATGCTTGTCATTTCAAAATCATTAGTTTAATTTGAAGAATTAAAACTTTTAACTTTCAAACTTGTCTCTTCATTGAACTGAAACACAGACTCACGGATATTATCGTCAGTTTAACGATGAAAACAACCTTTGAGTCTTCTTAAAACTATAAAATTTGGTTATTAATTCATTAAAAATTAATATCTCAAATTAATATGTAGAATGGTTCCTCTTTCATAAAAGAGCATATACCATTACACTACAGTGGCATGCAGAGATCGTTTGAAAGACAACGTTAGCAGCCGCTCCACGACAGTCGTCGTCAATGAAACGAGGATTTTCTTATATACAAGGGCCAAAAATAACGTTAGTAACCCTGAACCACTCGCTAGGCAGCTTATGAATCAGGTACAGAAACATTCTATGGTACAAAATCCAGAAGTTTCTTTAAAGTGTTTTATTTTTTAAATGATGATGATGATGGTGGTACAGGCGACATGAAAGCACAGACAGGAAGGAGAAATCATCCCAAACATGATGAGGGCTGATGGGCAAGCAAGAGTACCAAATGGAGTAAAACATCGTATCAAAATGTCATTTATTTTGTTCATATATATATATTTATGTTTCTATAGGACTAATAATTCTCTTTAACGATGCAAAGCACAAGAATGCCCTTTTCAGTTTAACCTTGGCTTTCCTGATGTGGAGTCGACTTTTTTACTCATCCAAACAGAAAATAAAAACAAACATGAACAAAAAAAGCTGGACTTTCTGCCCTTTTTTTTTGGACGGGGGGAGGGGGAGGTGTCCTGAAGTCCTGTCCGATGCGGCGTTGGGTCTCACGGTGGTGCGTTCAAGCGAGTTCACCGGAGAGTTCAGAGGTTCCGAGCAGAGGTCGACCTCAACGGGAGAATGTTTTCCCACTGGAACAAAAAAAAAAAAGAATTAAATTCAATTCAAAAATACTTTATTAATCCCAGAGGGAAACTGATTAGATCCAGATGTGGGAAAGAACATCAGCTGTTTGCTAGCAGGAAGATTCCGTTTGTAGATGAACACAATAGAAGCGATAGTGATACGCCGGCGGCAGCTCCCTTTGATCAGCCGTAACGTTTATTATTCTGTGATTGACGGTTTCATTTTCCTTTATTAGGGTAAACCTGAGGTTCTGGTGGCACTCGTTCTGTTGTTGAAGTTTGTGTTGAAAGCTCAGCCTCGCTTCTGTTACACATCACTGACTAAACAAAGATGGCCGTGGCCCACCCAAGCACGTCCCATTCTAAACACCAGCACAGTCAGAGCCGAGGCCAACACCTGGAGAGCACACAGTGACTCACGTCTATAAAGATAAAGGAAATAAAAGAGCTGGTGGTTCGCCCAGAGGAACTCCAGTTCAGGTTTTATTCTCACTGGCAGATGTTGCATTTGCACCACTGGAGCTAGAGGACTTACGAAATGGTCTTCATCTCTTTCTTCTCAGCGTCGGGCCGTGCGCGGTTCAGCACCTTGAGGAAATCCGACGTCTTGGCCCTCATGCGCGTGTGAATGTAGGCCTGCAACCACAAAGTCAGATTCAGGTGAGCGATTAGCGCCGCTGACAAACCTCAGAAGATGCTTTTAGTGCCGTTCTGGTCCTGGCACCGTGTCAGATGCCCCTTTCCCACTAGCATCGGCTCCACACCGCCCGGGTAGCTCCAGTCGGCCCCAGCCTGGACGGTTGATTCCACACATCCTTGCTTAGGAATGCAGTCAGAGACATTTTCAGCTCCTAGGTAATCAGCATGCTAATGAATTGAGCATGCCTTAAGCCCATGTGGGGTGATTCTACCCACCAATCAGAGGCTTGCTCTAATGGAAGGTTTGAATTTGTGGGTGTTGGCCCTGGTCAGCCTGAAGCAGACCACCTCAGAAAGAGGGCTGAAAAACAGTCTCGCTGCACCCTGAAAAAAGGCAGGCCACCAAGATATGTAAGCAAGCTATGCTATCCGTGCCGGGCCGACCAGGTACAGGTGGGAATGGCCTAAGGGTTTCGTTTTCATGTTTGTGTTTTTGAACGCTGCGTGCCAGAGCCGTGGAACATGATGGAAGATAACGTTTTAAGTGCATCCACCCACAGCGGCTCATTAAGTCACTCATGTTGACTCAAGGCAGATGCAGCCAACAGTCACCTCCTCTGTCTGGTATCTGATCAAGATATCTGCACCTGAACGCCCCCTGCCCCTCCTACAGAGTAAAAAGGCGAGCAGGTTAGAGACAGGAAGCAGGTAATGATCCATCCCAGAAACCTGTCTGATCACCAGAGACGGCAGAACGAGTTCTCCTCAGGTGGGACCTTTAGACTCACACCTGAGACGGTTAAAGAAAAGGCCTGAAGGACTCGGTTGTGATCCGATGAGCTCCTCAGCCGGTCTGCTCGTGGGAAGAAAACATCCTTGGGGGAATTTAAGGAGCTGCTGGAATCACTAAAAGCTGTACCCGAATATTTAAAGTTTCTGTAAATGGTCCCAGACTCGTTCAGTGGGTGGGTGGAGGAGGGAACTCACCTTGGAGCACTTTATGTGGTAGTGCAGGTAGTCCCTGAAGGTGTGGATGAGGTTGATGGTGTTGTCTCTGGCGTTGGCGTTGGTGTGACGAGGAAACAGGACTGAAAAGAGACGACACGTTTAACACGACTAGAACGGTACCGCGACTCCTTTAGAGGACAGGTTCATGATCCTGCTTCGTACCAAAGGTGATGTAACCGATGTTGTCCCCAACAGCGGCGTCGGTGTCCTTCAGCTCCAGAGGCGGCTCCCTGTGGCTGAACAGCACCTGGGGGGCCGTGTGGCTGGCTCTCCGGCCCTCTTTGAACTCCTAAAGCCAACGTTGAGAGTTTTAGAGCTCAGATGTGTCTGGAACACATCACAGATGAACGAGTCCTTCTTTACAGAGAATAAAGACAGGAAATAAGATGAAAACGTCCTCTGGAGACTTCTGAGTGGAACTCACAACCAGATGTGCAGAAACGTTTTCACTCATTCATCAGAAGTTAAACTTTTACTCAACAGACTTAAACACCAGAGTTTATTTAGATAAAACAGTCAGGTGGGCCTATCTAAGGGGGTCATCAAAGGTCAACTTAACTCATATTTTAACCAAGCCCCCACAATGCGGCTCAAAAATTGAGGCCAACCCGGAAGTACCAAGAATTGCAGTTCCACCCTCATCCACTGGGGGCTGGTGTCAGAAGCGAGCAAATCCTCATTGACTCCCATGTTAAAAATACCAATTTCACAGCAGAAATAAACATGTTTACAGCCTGGTACCAAAACATGTTTTTTGTTTAAATGATCTCGTTTACACTCATGACAACTCTGAGGGGGGTGAATTTTTTTCTCACTCTTCTGTTTAAGTGTATTAAAAGCCTAAAATTCTGTATAATTAATGAGCATCAGACCCACGTGACCACAAAGCTAGCTCCGTGGAAAGGCCTCAGTAGAGACTCGGTCTGGCCTGGAAACTGTTCCGGGATTTTGAGTCTCTTTGTTTGTGTATTCTTTTTTGGATATTATTTGTGCAATTGTTGGACAAAATGACTTGCTGTGGCATTAATTGCACTAATAGAGCGTCCAAGGAGTCTCCACTTCATTTTTTTCGGTAAGTAAAATTATATTTATGTATTTTAGGTCACTGCCGAGCTGAGCTTAGATTTTAACATGTACTGTTTAACCATGAAATTTAAATGTAATAGGGTAAAACCCAGTGCATTTAACATAATGCTGCACTTTAGAAAATGGGTTGAAATATAACATGTTGGTGGAGCTGGGTTCCTTAGGCCTGTGGAGCTCTCGGGAGACCGATGTTTTCCACCCGTTCTCCCCTCCCCGCAGCTCGGCGCATCTCTGTCTGATCGCGGCTTCTGTCTGCTGCGCGGGCTGCCGGCTTGTGGAGCTCTGGGATGGAAACCTTTCCACCCGGTTCTCCCCAACGGCAGCTCTGCGCATCTCAGATCGCAGCGGCGCTTGTCTGCTGTGCGGCTGCCGGCTTGTGGAGGTCTGGGAGACCTCTGTGTTCCACCCGGTTTTACCCAGTGGTCAGCCCGAGTCAGAAGCTCTGGTGTTGTGCACAGTTAACTCCGGTTGTAGCTAGGTTGCTACCTCCGTTAGCTTAGCTCCCACCTCTGCATTAGCTTTGGGTTAGCTTCAGGTTAGCTTGTAGCTAGTTCGACCGGGTGTCATCAGTTGATCCCAGCCTTACAGCCCCACCCTCAGCTCCACCTCTCTTCCCTTTTATGGAATTGTCTGGGCTTGACGGAACCTGTGACACGGTCAAAATAGCGGTGGTGGCTACCTCCCATTTGGCCTCAAAAACGTGTTTGTGGAGCCTATGGAAACCCATTGTCCAATATTTATATGTCAATAATTTTAACACATCAGCAGTGGTCTCTAATAGGAATGAATGCCTGCAGGTCATTCTCTAGGAATTAAAGCTCTGGTGCAGCTGTTTCAGCACAGAGATTCATCTGGGGGAGAAGGTTGCTTCAGACGACTTACTTCCTGGTATGTGGAGATCTCTCCTCTGATTGGCTAACAGCAACACGACTCTACCACTGACTGTTTGCTCAGCAACGCTGATGTTTTATCTCCACAAATAACACAAGCCAGGAGGAGTTCTGCTGTGTGGTGGAGTAGCTTATAACTAACTGTTAGCTTCTACTAGCTGAGACGTTCTTTGATGTTTCCTGGACGCTAAACCACCAACAGCCTTCCCTGTTGTGAGTCCAGATGGGTGAGTCCATGAATGTTAGTGACAGTGTGACGTAGATCTGTCAGGATTTTCTAATCCTAGAGTTTCACCGTCCGTTTTCTATCAGAAGCTAATGCAGGCGATAGTTTTAAGAGAAGCTAATGCAGGAGATAGGTGTAGGAGACTATTCTCATGTTCAGCCAGCATGAAATACTCAGAGTGACCCGTTAAGAGTCAGATATAATCATTAAGGTTTTAAGGGTTTTAAGTGTAGTTGACCTTTAAAAGCTAAAGTGACGAAAATGACTGAATCTTGTGATGTTTAAGCGACGTCCCGCCCCAGGACACGGACAGAGGACTCTGTTGCCTGAGCGAGGCGTGTGGTGTTTTCTGTGTGTGAGATGTGGGCCGTTGTAGCTGCAATACCTACTCTGAACTGCGTGGCGCTAAGGAGTCAAATGTATTTACACACTGGGGCTTTAACCACGACGATATTAAACTTGTCTTTTTATCTGTGTTGATGATAAAGTTTCCTCCAGCTCCAGAAACGCGACGTTTCGTTAACAGAAACATCTGGAGTTGCAGTTTCCAAGTTCTCCTTGAAATACCAGGAGACACTTTGTTTCTGACTTCTAATAAAGCCAGTTTGGTAAAAACCAGTAAAATATTTTCTCCGAGTACAAATGTAACATCTGGTTACAATCAGAGTGGATCTATGGCAGTAAAACACAGTAACAGGGTCGTTATAACCCGGTAAAATACACTTAATGTTTAAGTTTCATGAGAATAAATGTCTGATGGCATTCCTTAGTACGTGTATTAGTACTCAGTAACAGGTACTCAAATATAAGTACTTGGTTTGAACATAATTAGATATCGGTGCATACCGAATATTTTGGGCCTTCCATTTTGGGTTAGGGTGGGTCAGGAATTCCAACTTCCAAATGGGAAAACTCAACTGGAACTGGAGCTAAACTTTCTTCTCTGCAGGTAGACAAAACTCACCTGCATGAAGACTTTGCCGATGATAACATCATCGTCGTCTTTGAACACCGTGCTGAAAACCACCGTCACTCGGTCTTTCTTGGCCTCCAGGTACCTGGAGGGGCAAAAGAGACCCATGAGGATCTGAAACAGATGTCCTCAGGTGGGATCCACAAACGTCTCAGCCCTGTCACCTACATGGACTCGTCCTCCCTGTAGTGGACCACAGCCCTCTTCTCGCCCTCCTTGCCTTCCTCCTGGAACTTGAAGTACTTCTCGAAGACTGAGGCGAAGCAGTTTCTCTTGAGCATCCCAGCCTGGTGGACAACCTCGTCTTTGTTGGCTGGTAGAGCCTCCAGGTCATAGAGCAGAGACACGTTGTAGCCTGAAAGGACCACGGTGGATAATGACAGCTCATTGGGCGATGCCTAGAACATCAAAGCTGCTACTGACACAGCAGATGTTGTTGTGATGGTTAAAAAAGCTCCAGAATGTTCTGCTGCTCACTCGTGTCGACACAACAACACGTTTAGACGCCAGGAGCCTTTTAACGGCTCTCATGTCAGAGTTAAAGGTCTGAGTAGACAAAACGATCAGGAATAGAAGGAAAACGGGTTCAAATGGAAAAACGAAGGTGGCAGAGTGATGTCATGACGTCAAGACTTAGGCCTCACATCTCCTTTTGACCTGCTGAAGCTAAATGAAGATGTTCTGTCGTCGTTTGTAAAAGAGGAACCGGGACTGAATGAGAACTCACCAGCTTCTGGTGGAACCAGGAAACTCCCGTAAACCCTCTTGAGCAACTGGAAGCAAAAACATAACCCTTAGTTTAAACACTTATTATTGTTATGATTAAAACTTATTTACATGAGTGTAAGAAAGCTCCACATTAAAACAAGCATCCTAAAGCTCTGGTTACCATAGAAACCTGCAGTCTCTTCTAGGTCACAGGGGAATTAGTATTCATGGCCCCGCCCACCTTGGCTTGGGACCACCCACAGAAAGGAAAGAGCAGCGCACACCTCGGCTAGTAGAAGCTAACTGTTAGCATTAGCCACTCCACAACATGGAGGAACGAGCTCGTGTGATTAGCCGAGAAAAATCATCAACGTTGTTTTTAACCAAGAAAGGCGACAGAAGAGCCTTGTTGCTGTTAGCCAATCAGAAGAGACACATGTGCATATCATGAATATTAATGAGTAGTACTCATAAACCTGCCGGATCCGGCCCACAAATGGGTTAAGTCCGGCCCGTGAGATGGTTGTGTAAACTTAATTTTCATACTTTACAATGTAGAGTGAAAATAAACTCAAATTTTTCAATTAGAAAAAACTGCTGTTCCCGATACATCAACTAGAGGAAACAACTCATAAGCATTCATTCATGAGAGACCTCAGCAGATTTACTGAAAAACAAGTGAGAATCAACTACTAACAGGTTTCTTTTGTTTTTAGTCTGGGTTTAAAGGTTGGTTTATGCTTAACGCGTCCGCGAGGTCCGCACGGCTCCGCGCAGAAAAGTTGCGTCATTTTAACAACCACGTCCCTCCACCGCGCCTCCGCAAGGTTCAGAATTTCCGCAACGCGCACCTCGGAAAATTTCTAACCACGCGGACGGACGCGGAAAAACATGGCGGACCGGCAAGAACTAGTATGGCAGAGGTTCGTAAATACAGACATTTGTATGATTCAGCTCTCAAAGATCACCGTGATCAACATGTTGTAAATAATTCTTGGAGAGAAATAGCTCGCACTGTCGGAAAAGACGAGGACACTGTTAAAAATGCTGGAATGCCGTGTTGTAAACAGTAATTTCTACTTCTACTATGGTGTAGTGTTGGGTGCATGCCGTAGAGCCCCATGCTGCCCCCTACAGTTTGGGAGAATATTGGCTCACCGCAGAGACGAGCCGCACGAACCATAAACGCTGTGAGTTGTGAAGCACGCTCCATCCGCGAGCCGCATCACCAAGCGGAAAGAGCTGCACTCGCTTTATCAATTGTCCAAGCGCTTTTTGCTTGTTTGTTTTTGCAAGCGGAATTACTGCTCCTTGCGGAAGACCACAGACGAAGGACGAGGTTAAGAACGGGGGAAGTACTGCCGCCTACAGGTCTAGCATGTCCTTAACAACGTATTTATCCGGGTACGTGTGGACAGTTTTCTTTTAAAAAGGAGGTGGTGTGGATGCAAGTTGTTGGAGAGGCGGATATTCGTTTAAAAAAAAAACCGGCTACGTGTGTACTAGGCCTAAGTGTTTTAGATGCTGTAACACCATAAATGACAGGACAGATAAGTGGTGGGATTAGAGGCACAGGTAAACACACCAGGTGTACAATCAGAGGGCAGGAAGGGAATGTGCTTCTGTAGGAGGTCATTTAAAGATGCCTGCGAATTAATTCATGGGAACAGCAGAAAATCCGGCTCAGGAATGTCAGCAATGCAGCAGAAACCACGAGAACCTCCATGGGAGCTGCTCCTGCTCAAACGGTTCTGACTGAAAACAGATGAAGGTGCGAGTAACACTGGGGCTGGAGCTCAGAGCCAGCAGCGTCTGTCTGCAGAGCTGCACTTCCTCGTCTGTGGTGACTCACTCTAGCTCACTTCCTGTTTCAGCCTGCAGCCGCAGTAGGAGCTGATTTCTTCCTTACAAGGCAACAGAGCGCCGGCTCCGTGGGTGTGAGTGTGCAGAGACCAGAGCTGACCCCGTTGGTGCCTAAATCAGCAGAGATTCACGCCTCACTTCAGCGGTTCACAGCATCGTGGCTACCTGCTGTTGCTACAACGTCTGCAGGTTAATCACAAACACACAAAACAGCCTTCTAAAGACATATCAGAGCTTTACGTAGACAGCAGAGGAACGGCGGGCTTTAACAATGGTCTGTTTTCTGATGACCAGTAATCTGATTACGTTCTGTACCCTTTACCTCATCAGCGCCATGCTCCTGCAGCTCTTTGTAGAACTTCAGCGAGATGCTGACCATGACTTTGGTCTTGTCCCCGTTGGGGTTGGAGATATGGTACAAGACGCCATCGAAGTCTGCAATTGGAGGAACAGTGTCAACACCTTTGGTGCCTCCAGAAACAGGTCACAAAGCTGTTCCACAGCCATTACCATGGTGATAAATGACAGACCACAACCAAATATGTGCAGAAACAATCAGATTTGAGCTTGGTGAGAAATAAAGAACCTCACACAAATCTAATGTGTTCATCTATCACTGATATCAACGGGTTCTGGAGTTTTACATTTAAAGTTTTGGACATCTTTTATCTCAAGACCTGCAGCTTTCAGCAGAGGAACTCCAGCTGATCAGTCAGTAATCAGATTCAAAAACCCTACAGAAGCCAAAGTGAGTAAATTTTGGTGTGTTTAGGAACTTCTGGGACCAACTGGAAGCACCTGGATCTAACTAAACACAGGAAGTGTGAACGCTCACCTGCAAACGTGACATCGACAGCCTCTGGTTTTGTTCTGAGAGCAGAGAAACACAAACATGTCATCCTAATCTGTTAGTGCATTAGACATCTGTACAGGTGTGCTGCATCCCTGCAGGATGATGTATAGAGCCATTATAAAAGCAGCCATGTTTTCAGACAATAATGAAGTCTAATGCAGTTACTAGTGTATTATTGGTGCTGAGAAGCAGAACCTGGGCTGTTCGTCTTTGACTCAAACCCATAAGAGCTGTTTTAACCCAACAGGTGATTGTGTGGAAAAAGGAAATGATGCAGATTAAATAGAAGTGAACACAGCAGCAGAGTAATCAGCTGTAAATTAACCATTATCCAGGATTATTTCATACACACAAGGTATCAGTATTAATCAATCAGCAGTTACAAAGCCTCTTTATTACAGTTTAAAGTTTTACCACAAAAACACATTCTAAGCCAAGATCACACTTAAGAACACGCAGTGGCGTTTCTGACAGTAATCATTCCACCCAGAGAACTCTGATGTCTGTTTCTGCCCAGTTTGACTTTACGCGGAAGCTGCAGAGACTTGTTTAGAGCTGATGGATCAGCATCAGGCACAAACTTGACCCAGCCTGACTTGAGGAATGCGGGAATAAAAGCTACGATTAGCTGGTTTGTAGCTGATAAACACCGGTGCAGAAACGTGTAGTCCTCCAAAAGCTCTTTGTTGTGATACATTATGTAACAGCTGTTCACAAGTAAAGTAGATAAAATCATTGTTGTATCGGAACTGGTTTGGGACCCAGATTTAATCCCCTAAAAGGTGGGACGTCTCTTAGACATGTGTAAGGTTTTTATCATTAGCTTTGAAGCTATTAGCAGGTCTTAAAGCAGCGGACTTAATATTCGCGACTCCAGCGGTTCTAAACTCACCTAAAACCTTTACATGTTTGATTTACACATGAGTTAGAACCGCCAGGGGGCGAGACTAAACGGGGTTACGGTTTTTGACACAACACAGCCAGTGCAGACACACCCCAGCTTCCAACTAAGCAAACCCAGCGGAGTTTACAGCTGATTCAGGGTCAGATTTCTCCCTTTTTTACATCTACCAGACGTAGAAACAAGAAGCCTTGTGAGCTTTAATCAGCTGAGACTTCAAATGCAGCCAACAGCCTCAGTGAGATGCTAAGGCTAGCTGCGTTAGCAGGTTCCTCACCCGTTGGATGCGCCGTCGAACTTCAGCGTCAGCGTCTCTTCTATGATGCGGTTATTAATTTCTAACAGGATCATCGCTGCAGACGAGGGGGAAAGAGCGGTTCTGTTCGGTGGGATAACCCTCGATCAGACAAATACTGTCTATTTTTCTCCTCCCGTGACAGACCAGACCGCTTCCGTCAAAGCTCCTTCCGCCTGTAGCTTCCGCGTACTCCACTCTCAGGACCCCTGGGTGACTTGGGTGGCTAAAATATTGCCTGATGTGGGTTCGTGACCCGAAATTCCGTTACAGTGTTGCCTTTTGTTGGTGGAGAGTCCCACAAATGTTTGGTGTAAAGCATGCGAACTTGTAATGATCTAAGACGTTTTCTCTCGCATTAGAAAATTATTTTTTTAATTGTTTGGTCTAGTTTATGAAAAGCCCGCTCTTTAGACCCCTATCAGTCCTAGTGCAGCTTTCATCTGAGCTAAAATGCTATAATAAAATTGTACTTGTGGCTTTAAGTCTGTAAATTTTCAATCTTGGTAAAACCAATCATATCTAAACTTGAAAAATAACATTTTTCTTTGTGCTTTTAGAGAGAAATAGATAGGAAAGCAAACGGGCGGTACTAAATACTTTATTTTTAACAGAATGGTCTTGGTTTCTTCCTTTTTCTGCTTTTGAAACAGATGGTACAAGCCCAGTTTACTCCTGCTAGTTGTTACCTGATATTGATGTACCTTTAGCTCAGGTGGCATTTCTAGTGTGCATAAAACCCTTTTTTTTTTCCCCAAAATGGAAACATGGATTTTAAAACTGGAATGTATCTAATTTAAGAATGTAGAGTATTAGCATATTTATTTATGTGTCCATTAATTTATTTCTTTTTAGAGCACTTTTACACCACCAATCAAGGTGGCCCAAAGTGCTGTAGGCCTTCACTAAAACCAGAGAATCAAGTGAAAACAGATAAAATTTTATTGTAAAACAGTTAAAACAAAAGCCCAAAGTCAATAAAAACAATAAAGGTAAAAAAATAAATAAAAAAAATCACAGAAACAGAGGCCTGAATTACTTGGATTTAAAACTCACCCCTGAAGTAGACCGCCTAATATCAGGTGGTTGTTGGTCTTTAAATCCTGCTAAATCTAACTGATTACCTACTAAATTTAGAAAAAAAAATCTTTCTGTTTGATCAAACAGGAAATCAAACCAGGATAATTGACTCTGGCTGCAGCTCACGCTGGATAGAAATAATACGCTTTATTATGACTTTGCCATTTTGGCCTCAGCTGCCTTAGAAAACATCACATTCTTCTAACATGTTTTTAATAAAAACAAGAAACAAACCTAATCAGCAGCTCATTGTCATTTTGAAGCCCCGATTTCTAAAGATTCACATCTGAAAACAGGGTCATTGTTATTTTGCTGACATTCATGATTCTATTTGCTGGGCTCAACTATCCGACTAGGACATCTCTCTCTCTCTCTCTCTCTCTCCCTCTTGCTCTATTTTTCTTATTTGCGTTGGCGTTTTCGCAACTGTCCTGTTTCATTTTGTCCGTTTCATTTTGTCGAGTTAAAACATTTGTTTTTTAGATCTAATCTCAGTTATTTTCTCCTCATGGTCAGGCACTCGGGCGATCAAGACTAATCAGCCTCACTCCTTTTGAGACTCCAGGTAAGTCAGGTGAGTATAGCAGATGTTTGTAAGCTATTATAACCATTTGTTATTATCATTATTTATTAGAACCTTTTTTATTATTAATTACTATTTTTCACAAAAGCTCAAAACCATCAAAAGAAAAAAAGTTTTTTATTCTAAGAACAAAGGTCAGGAACTCGAAGGTGGTTTATTAAAAAAACTAAATAATAATAATTATAAAAACTAAAATGTAAAATACCATTTTTCTAAGTTGAGATTAGTCCTTATTGTTCTATCACAGACAATAGTCTTGATATATAAACTTTATTATTGGCTGTAGAAGCTTCTAAACAGTGTCGTAAAAAGTTTTCAGCTGTTGGATAAAAAACTAACTTTCAGATAAACACCTGAAAAAGGCAAAATGTTGTTTTGAAAGATTCTTGTAATTATTAATCTTTAATTATTATTAAGACTTATTATGAATATTAGTCACTATTGCGTTTATGCTGCTTTTTACACTGTAAACATCTGACTGAATCATGTTAGATATTTGTAAAAATCATTTTATACCAGTTTATAAATTAATGAATGAGGTTTAATTGAAGTTTTGTAGAAATAAAATAATGTTTATTTAGTTTACTTCAGTCATTAAAGAACACAAAAATAAAATATACACTAAAGAAAACATCAACCTTATGTTAGTTTTTTAAAATAAAATTAATTCTATTTACTTTTCTTTTTGAAATAGATGAATTTATTTGTGAGTTGACTTTATTTCCTTTGACATTTCTTTGCTTAAGTTTTAAAGAGGAAACTAAAGAGACTCTATTGTCAGTTTTAAAGCTTTATTGTGGTTTTATAAGTGAATAGAAATAATGAAAACTGGAACCAGAACACCAGCAGAGCGCTTTTCTGGTTGACTGTCTGTATAACCCTATTATGATGTCAGGTGATGAAAACCCAGATGGTTAAGTGTGGTATCGCTGGAGTCGCCTAAGCATCGTTAATGATCTGAAAATGTTTTTGTGCTTCTAATCTCAAGTTAAAGTGAAGAAAAACAGAATAAAACCGTTTTTGTGGGGTTGGGAATAGGATTAGGATTAGGTAAATGTCTCTAAATTTAGCTACAGCTGAAATTCCTGCTTATCGGGTGTTAAACAGACCAATCGGGTTTGTCTTTGACATAATTAAAGGATTGATTGGCCACCGATCCAGATTTTTGCCTTAGTGAGAAAACAAAGGGTGGACTTTCCTGTGAAGCAGACCACATTTAGTCGTTTTTACTTCCTCTACACTTTTGCATTGTTCTGAAAAATGCTTGTTTTGTTTTCTGTTTGAGGAGAATTTGGCTTTGTGTCAAAGTGCAGCTTTGTTTAACATCACCTGTGTTTTCTCACCCTTGGGAACGGCTTTTCGCTCAGGAAAAGGTTTCCACTGAATTTAGCTGAGATTAGAAAAGCATTTCAGAAAACAAACTTTATTGTGTCCTTTTGCAGGATTGCAGGCGTTTGTGTGTGCACACGGTCATCCATCACTGCTCTGAGTACATTAGATTAGATAGCATGTTGCTCAGTATCTGTTTGTCTTGTTAAAAAGCTTTTAAACAATGCAAACAGAAAAATAAAAGCTGTCCCAGTTTGAGCCGAAACTGCTGCAGGCGTGCCGGCGAACCTCAGAGGGGAGGAAGAATAAACCAAGGTGACTCACTCCGCTCATCGTTGGCCTCAGAGGGAAACCAAAACATGATTTTTATTAAGAAATATAAAATTTAAAAGTAATGTCAACTATTTTTTCTGCAATTGAGTTACAAGAAAAAGCAAATAGCAAATAAGAGTTAGTAAGATGTGAAGGCTGAAAATCATCCGTTTAGATAAAATAAATGGAGGAAATAGCTTTTTGAATTGTCATTGTTTGATTTTCAGTCTGTTTCTGTTTTTTTACATTTGTAAAAAATCGATAAAACACGTTAAATTTAGATTTTAAAGCTCAGAATTGTGTTTTTTGCAGCTACAAAATGTCTTTGCCTTAAAATTTCTACAAAAAAAAATCTTTCTTACACAAACTGCGACGGTTGGTGTCAAAACATGAACTGAAATGGTGCATGCCTTTATCTCCTCCCGTCTAAATTACTGTAACACACTCTTCACTTTTTAACAAAAAAGCCCTTGACCGGCTTCAGTTGGTCCAGAACTCTGCAGCGAGGCTCCTAACTGGAGCAAACAGAAGAGCACACATCACTCCTATTCCTGTCTCTTCACTGGTTACCCGTTAACTTTAGAATCCTGACTATAACTTTCAGGGCTCTACATGGTCAAGCTCCTCCCTAAATCAAAGAGCCTTATGCTCCAACCCGAGCCCTCAGGTCCACGCACCAGAACCTTCCAGAAGTTTCAAAGACCAGATATAAAAGTCTAGGAGATTGCTCCTTCCTGTCAGGCGTGCTGCTGTGTGAAACGGAGGTGAGGATCCACACGCGGGTGAGGAAGGAGGCAGGCAGGCAGACAGGAACATTTAAAACAAGGATTTAATAATGAACACGCAGGACAATGAAACAATGAGCCAACAAGAGACACAGAACTGAAGGGGTTTAAATACATGAGGGCTGGGAGCTTGGGTGATTGGAAAACGAGAGGCAGGTGGGAGCAATTAACCAAGACACATGACTGAACAGAATGGGGAGACAGGACAGGGTGTGACAGCACCCCCCCCCCCCCCCCCCCGAAAGGGCAGATCCCAGACGCCCATAGGAACACAGAGCAGGGTGGGAGGAGGGGGACCCGGAGGGAGGGCCGAGAGGGACAGAGGGACCGATGGAGAGGAGGCAGGGACCAGTAGAGTCCGGGGACCTGCGTCTGTGGCAGAGGAAGAGACGACGACAGGCTCTTGGGGGCCTGCGTCTGTGGTAGAGGAGGAGACGACAACGGCCTTTTGGGGGCCTGCGTATGTGGTAGAGGAGAAGATGATGACAGGCTCTTGGGGGCCTGCATCTGTGGCAGAGGAGGAGGCGACGACGGGCTCTTGGGAGCCTATGTCTGTGGTAGAGGAGAAGGCGACGACGGGCTCTTGGGAGCCTATGTCTGTGGTAGAGGAGGAGACGATGACGGGCTCAGGGAGGCTCGCACCTGGCGAGGGCAGGACCGGCGGTGACCGGAGGAAGAGACGCTGCAGGAGACGTCCTTGACTTCTGGACTGGCGGTGGTGGCATCGACCTCTTGACTGGAGGCGGCGGCGTCGACCACTGGGCTGGAGGTGGCGGCGTCAACCTCTGGGCTGGAGGCGGCAACGTCGACCTCTGGGCTGGAGGTGGCGACGTTGACCACTGGACTGGGGGCGACGTCGACCACTGGACTGGGGACGACGACGTTGACCACTGGACTGGGAACGGCGACGTCGACCACTCGACTGGAGGAGGAGTCGTCGACCACTGGACTGGAGGAGAAGCCGTCGACCACTGGACTGGGAGGGGCATCGCCCACAAGACTGGGAGGGGCCTCGACCACAGGACTGGGAGGGGCCTCGACCACAGGACTGGAAGGGGCGTCAACCACAGGACTGGAAGGGGCGTCGACTTCTGGACACGAGGAGGCGTC